GTTCGGGTGTGCACCGAGCTTTGTATATTAATGTCGCTTGTTTACAAGACGTAATCCGCCAGTCTGTCGTTATAAACCAAGTCAAAGTGTCACCGTTTCATGTGTCTCGAGAGCGACTAGCTAAAGCGTGATATTGCAATTTAATTCGGCGGCCTATAAAAAGTTGCAGTTCGTTATGCTTTGACGAAAAATTTACAACTATATACGCGTGCGCGGATTACTGCATCCTGTGAATTGTCCTCCTTTCGTTAAAATAATTGCGCAAGTAAACATGTGTGTAACAGTGCGCACAAATGTAAATGCGGCGAAACTACTGCAGCAACAACACTGCGTGTACTTCCAATTACGATAGCATGATATTTTTTACTCTCGCGCCACGATCGCTATCCCGCAGCGAGCGAGACGCGGCGCTGCTCGATAAAAATAACGAATTTGCCCTGGGTCCTTCGGGCGCTCGTGGCGCACGATTCGCCGTAATATACTACATCGCGCGCCACGACAGACTGGCCAGTGGGTGTGCATGCGTATATAGGTAGAGGTAGAGGTAGGTACGTGCGGTTTAAGGTGTAAGAGACGCTGAACTCGAGACTCGTGAGTTATTGCGCTCTTGAACACCAGCGAGCCACCCACATTATTTATCCTCCTGCGTCACTCTATATATAATACGATGTACAGCACCCGAGTCTGCGCTTCATTTTCCTTTCTCTCTCTCTCTCTCCCTCTCACTCTGCTTGCCGCACTCGCCGATGTTTATTTTTAATCTGTCATTTTTTATTTCGGTCTTCTTTTTTTTTCTTCACCCAAGAAACGACGTTTTTTTTTTTAATTCACAGGCTACTCGAGCGAGACTTTTTTTTTCAATAAACGAACGAATCTGCATTCGGAAAGATAAACCGGTAAAAGTAAGTCGAAATAAAGTTCACCGGCTTACGGTGAAAGAAATCTCGCGAATCATCGTAAATATGAATAACTCTAGCGTTAAAAGCAGTTTTTAATTTACTCGAGCCTCGTTCGAAAATTTCAAACACAAAGGGTGCTGCAGTTTGTAAGAAGCTTATTCATGCAACAACTCGCGTCGTCCGATTGAAAATGAATTTAAACGTTCTCTTTATCACTTGGGCGCGCGCGCAAGCTGCCATTGAATTATCGCGACGCCGAAAGCTCGCACACTCACATAAAAGCTCTGCGCTAGCTGGCAGCTTACACGTGTAAGAAGAGTCCCCTCCCCTAGTAGTAGCTAATCCAGAAAGGCATTAAGTCATCGAGCGCGTAAAAAGCAGTTAATTCGTCTTTCGTCGTCGGGGCGCGCGTTATCCTGAAACTTCTTCCAAGCTGTCCGTCTCGGGCGGCAATAGTGTAGGTAGAGCAGTGTATACCCTCCTGCAGCGGCGGCGGCGGTGGCGGCAGCAGCAGTTCCTAATTACCTTAAAGCAAGCTCGCTTGCCTCGAGCGCTTAATTAATACTATTCCTCGAGCTTACAAGCCAAAGGCTGAGAGAGAGAGAGAGAGAGAGAGAGCTTTCGGTGAATAGTGTCGAGACATGATGATTGTTGCCACGATCGAAAGTCTTACACCCCTGGCGTGTTTTATCCGCAGTTGATGTGTGCGGTAACGTATATAATGCTTGATTCACTTTAAAATCACTATATAGGTATCTGTCTCTTAAAAACCTAGAATACATTTGTAAGATTGCAAGATATTTTTCGTATGGACTTGAACTCGGTGCAAGAACAAAATCACAACGAATAGAAATTTTAATTACGAGCAGAGATGTAGCTGCTGTAACATTACGGTTACAGTGGGTAAAAAATGATATTCTCATTATACAAACTCTCGGAATTCGTAGGGATTAAGTTGCTTATGAACTAGTCAAATTTAACACTCGGATTTACTTTTCAATTATCGAAAAAATTACATTTACGCGCATGACCGGCCGAGTAAAAACTTTTTCGTCCATTGCTCGAGCCTCGAAAAAGGAGTGAAACGCGAGCGCTGCTGCTTTCGCATTATATACTTGAGGTCTCCGCTTCCGGCGTTAATTAAATCGGCTAAACGAAAAAATCGGGTTCATATAGCTGCACTTCGATACGATAATGAACATGATAATTGATACGAAATAAAAAGAATGATATTCTCTATATCTGAAACTCGGAGCAGCAGACACCGGTGCACGAATACGAGAATCCAGGGGCGCTGCAGTGAGAATCTCAGCCAAACGAGAGAAATGAACATTCTGCTACATTGCATTCCATACTTTTCTGAGGCGCGTCGGCTGCGCGCGAGACACGACGCTGCAGTATCATATAGGTGATGCTGTGCAGCATCAGTAGCTTTACGAGAGTAAACGCGCACAAGGGGTGCAAAACTCGCGCATAGACATACATTGTAGATGAGTGCGAGGGAGCGGCAGGAGAGGAGGATGAGGAGGAGGAAAACGCGATCTCGTAGTAGCGATAGAGCTCAATCGAGGCGTGAAGCTTCCTCTCTCGCGCGAATTTCAATGTACCCTCGGTGCGCGTCGAAAATCGAAGACGCACTACTCCCAGCAGAGCTCCCTCGAGGAAAAAGGGGAGAGAAAACTCGCTCTGTGGGGTAACATCTGTTTCTGGATATATATACACTGCGCAGCGCGGGCGCGCGCACACACGTACACCAGCGAACTTGAAGCATCGCGTAGCAACACTAGCAGCAGATGTAAGCCTGTGATCGCGTATAAGGGTTATTATTATAGGGGACCGCGCATAAGGGCTGTTGCCAGTGGTTATATGCGCAGCCAAACGTTTAAACTCAACGAGAGGCTGTAATAAACCTTCTGATTTTCGGTTTCAGCACGAGCACACGCCTCCGTATGGTCTGAGTGCGTGCTATCGATGCTCGAATTTCGTGACGCAGACGCGGCGACCTTTGTGCGCATCGCGTGCTGCACCTTTCCAACTGATACTAATTGTTTTCCGTTATTAAATTGGTAAAAGTCATATGTGCCCTTTCATTCTTATTTTTTGTGCTTGATTTTCGGTAATTAATTTAATTAACTAGGTATTCGTATCTCGGTAAAAGTTTTGATTGAATTTTTATGCGATTCCCAAACGTTTATAGGATAATTATGAAATGCAATGAAGCAGCAATCACAGAATATAAGTACTCGCGTTGAAACTCATTGAACATTTTCAAATAACTCGAGCTGATCGTACCCTGGATACTTACAAACTGAATCAAATTTAAATACTCTTTCGGCTCTTTGTAAAGTTTTACAAATATTTCGGCATTCAAATGTCGTTTATCATTCAGTTGTTACAACGCTCATTGATAAGCATTACTTGAAACTTATTCGTGAAAATTGTATTATTTCTCGTTCGTCATGCGAAATGAAGTAGCTTTAATATTGCATACCACTCGTTTCGGGATCGAGTATTTAAAAGCTGTACCCAAGCATCGTTCAGGGAGCTCTATGTACCGATCGTAAAAGCTGCTCGGGCTTCACGGTCCAACGCCGACGTAAGAGCTTTTTCCAAACTTGCCAGGCTTGTTTTACATATTATTACGATGATTCGATGGCGCGACATAAAACTTAGCACTGATTTATCTCAAAGTGCTGGTAATAAAACACTGAAAGACGCGACGCGTGCGAACCCAGGTACATAGACTGTATGCCATCTCGAGCGAGAGAGAGAGAGAGAGAGAGAGAGAGAGCTCCGTGAGATCGACATGCAGAGCACGAGCTCTTTAAGTGAGTCTCTGACAGGCTCGCGAAAATATCGGGATAACGAGATAAAGTTTCTCCCTCTCCTCCTTTCTGCTACAAGCGCGGCACATGCCAAGAGAATAACGTCTATCCCCGAAAAGAGGACGGGAATGTTCTCTGTCTTTCGAGCCACTTAACATTGATATTCCAAGGGAGTATTCGCTTTAATGCTCGCTTTTTGTCTCGTATATAGTCTCGCGCGCGCAGTCGCGTATTCGCGTGGAGGCGATTTCCACCCTACTAAAATAAATGGGTCGAGATGCTACGCTATACTTCTACTACTTACTTTTCTCTCTCTCTCTCTGTTTTTTTTGTTTCGCCTTGCCAGTTCCTAGCTCGCTCTATATTCTTCTCCGCCTGCCTCAAAATAGATGTGTGTGTGCTTTTTCTACTCTGCAGAACTTTTCGCGCCGCTGCTTGTCATGGAATGTTTGTAGATTTGGAAGCGAAAGGTTACAAAGTCTTTTGGAGAGCGTTTACGCAAGTATTTTATTTTCCACCTCCCCCTGACCCCGTGCGCTCTGGCGCGAACTCAAAGTGAAAACTACTATTTATCAAATTACTCGGCTAGTGCTGCTGCTGCATACATTACTTCTGGGCGCAGTGATTCCGTGTATAGCGCTACCGAAATGGTGCAGCTTACTGCGACAATACGCAAACTACCCCCTGCGCAAATTGATACTTTAACGCGTATATTGGAATAAGAGAAACGAGTTCCCATAAATGCGACACACATTTCAGACTCAGAAAAAATAATATCTTTTCTCGTTTAATATTTTTGAGGTGAGTATAGTTGCCAAAAGAAGTAAATCGATCCGATTTATGCTCGAACTCGTTCATATCTGAGCTCAACAATATTGGGGCTGTTTTTCTTTCTCTCTATCTCTTAGACTGTTAGCTCGATAAAATTATGCGTTATCGACTGCAATGCGGTATCGGATCGCGTCTTACGCAGGACATATCTGCTCCATTTGTGTCAATAAGATTCGCCAAACTTTAAACGTAACCCATCTACTGCGGCTGCTAGCTCGATGCCAATGGCGTCATCGATTGACCGTTTTGCCATTGCCATGCTTCGATATATCTCGTAGATGTGGGTTTTTATCGCAATGCGCTTGCAACTATCGTGCCGCATACTCTCGTGACCTACTCTGCGTTCGCAGTCGAAAAACTTTTTTATAGCAGTTTTATACTTTATAATTTTCAAAGCCTTACAAATTTGTTCATGTGCGTTGTGTGTGTGTGTTTTTTGTTACAGGCGCAGCGGCAGCTTCGAAAGCCTACGTCGATGCATTAACGAAGATCGGCAGACAGGCCCAACTGGGTACTTGGGGAGGCTCCCAAGATGTTGGTACGTACACCGCCACTCAGTGTAATTTATTTTCAGATAGCTCCCCGCTCTTTTTTTCTTTATCGAATCACCCGCGACCCACCTCGCGAAATAAAGCAACGAGCGAGCGCGACGAGCGAGTGAGAAATTTTCAATCTCTTTATAAAGTAGCGGGTGTATAATAATATCCGGGCGTGCTCGACAGAGCAAAATGAGTTTTGCGCGGGTGGGCGATGTGTCTACGTGTCAGCGTTTGGCGACGCTGGTGGCTGTGCCTCGCGTTCGTTCGTCGTCGTCGTCGTCGTCGTCGCTGTCAGATAAGGAGGCAAAGAGAACGACTGCAGTCGTGCAGGCTGCGACAACGATGTAGTGTAGGAAGCCTTCCCAAAGCCAATATAAGCGACACGAGCCAGTCGCGTGTTCGAGCTGCTCGACGACGACGACGACGACTCTTTGCAGTTTGCGCGAGTGAGAGTGTATAGCTACGTGCGAGCTCGTGTGTGCCATATAACCGTAGTTGTGCACACGCAGCCGAGCTAAGATGTGCTAACGAGATGAGGTATTGGATTCGGGTCGGCGACCTCCATGTGGATCTCACGCGTGTATATATAGCTCTCATATACAGACACCTACGTGTTATAGGGCACACATGTATGTGTACGTAATCGCGATGGGGGAAGCCCTTGACGATTGTAAGCTTGCAGCACGAGAGAGAGAGAGAGAGAGAGAAATGAGAGTGAATTTTCCTAGACCAAAACGTGTCACTATCGCGTGCGTACTTGCCTTTCTTTCTGCTGCCTACTTGTGCGATTACCCTGGCACGTCTCAGCTAGAATGTAGAATTTGAGAGTAGGTTTTCCCCGAGTGCGGCTTGTGCGACGATGTGATCGATATATATTACGTATCGTCGTGCACGCTTCGCTCTGAAAAATTTACCAAGTTTTTCTCTACGAGAAATAATTGAATCGCAGTCGGGGGATTTTTCAATATACATCTGTTGGAAGCTTGTTTCAATTATATTTGCGATTGAATATATTTTTGTTTTTCGACGTTCGAACGAAACGCGCTCGCATTAGAATTGGCGATGGGAAGATTTCATCAAGAAAATTGATGGCAAAGTAAAGATCGCGAGTTGACGAAAAAAAGTCATTCCCTTCCCTAACTACAGTCAGCGAGTCCGAAGGGTATATAGCGCGTACGCTACTGCCTCTTTTACTCGAGCTTTTTTCTCTCCTCGCTCTCTGCGGGCGCATCAAGGCGCGCTTCATGACGAGGTTTGCAGTCAACAGCCCGCAAGACCTCAAAGCCTGCTGGACGGCTATCCCTTCTCGGGTACGCGCTCGCTTCTGCACCACCACTATACACCACTGCTTGATGTCTACCTTGGTACCTCTCAAAGCCTGCGAGTCTTGCAAAGTTACATGTATACCTGCGGCGACGTTCGCGAAATGGGATGAAGTTCGAAAAAGTCGGAAGTCGGCGCGTCGAGAAATTTAAACTCAATTACAAAATAAGATTCGCTGCTCGAGACGCCGTCGACGCGGTGCCTCGCGCCTTTTTGGCCTTGATAATAATAAAGGCTATAGACAGAGAGAAGAAAAACGATCCGCTTTAATTTCCGGCGTAAAATTTTCCACATCGTGCGCCACGCGCAAAGATTAATGCGGCTTGGCTTCTTTCAAAGTGGCAAAGCTAGAGTGGCTGGTTGACTGGATAATTCTGCTTTCTTTGGTCGAAATAACACACAGAAATATCTCGGGCTGCAGGAGCTTAGCAAGCGACTCGAGTGGTATCGATGTATATCTATTTACGCCAATCTTGTCGTTTCATCAATTGAAAAGGTTTCTTTCAATAGTTTTAATCTTTAGCCTAAGCTTGTATTATTCGATAGATATTTACAATCGTATAATCTGTTTTCATTCGCTGCTTTGATATGATTATGCGCAATTATATTGCCGTGTTACCACATCAACGGCACAGAGAGCGGATATTTAATCCGTCTGAGCCACTCGTCGTCGATATTAAAACGTATTCGCGAGCACGTATACGCAGTGTCGTTATCGTTGTTATCGCTGCAGAGAGTCTTCCCTCTCGCGCGTGCACTGGCGTTTACGCATGTGTTTGCAGCCAAAGGGGCGCGCTGTATACTCGCCGGCTACGCCATTTCCATATTTCGTAATGTATGAAAATTTATTTTTTCCAATGTTGCGAGGGCTGCGTACGAGCGGGGTCACCAACCCCACGCACTTTTCGATCGTATATCGATACGCTCACGGTTATTTGCTTTTTCGTCAAACATTTTGTCTCTTTTTATTGCGCGCTTCAACTCGCAAAATTAAGATAACTATTACTTATTTACCGCGCGAGAGATAGATTTCAATTATTGTAATGGTGCATGGCAAATAACTAATCGATTTCTACCGCAGAGTTTCTGTGTGCATAACTATTGTTCCGGAGTATCTAATCGATGCACCGAGTAGCTCGCTTGCGCACTCGATACCGTAAATATCGTTACGTTACACAGCAATTAATTCCAGTAACCAAACTGTCAAAGCCTAAACTCGCTACTGGTAAACTGCTTCCGCCTGCGAGCGTGCAGTGCATTTCCTCGTGCCCCAAGTGTGTACCGAGAGCGAAGGAGAGTTTACTTTGATCAGGCAAGTTTTTTCATCAAATTTTTTTGTCGGCAGCTCTCTCTCACTTCTCTCTCGATCGAGCAGATTGTGTGTGGGTTCGTTTTTTAGCCTTTGACATGAAATTCGGTTATTCATTCAATGGAGTGAAAAATTGCCGCGGCTTTTTTCTGCATTACGAGCTTGAGAGAGCATTCAAGTATGCACAAAAAATTTCTTCACAACCATTGTGCGAGGACGCAATAATTTGTATCTTGGCGATGAACTGAGTCCGCGCATCGTACGCCTCTAAGCGCAAAATAACCTGAATTTTTTCATCTTTAATTAATAAAAATCAAAACACGAGGATTGAGAGTTACAAGAATATCCGATTACATTGAGATTTATAATAATTGCAGCCAACAGTCGATGCCGCAGTACATGAAATGCATTCGCTATTTGCAGTAGTTAAAATCGCTGTACGGTCGGACATTTTACTGATCGAATCGCTGCAACGTATACTCAGCGCAACGTGTACTTCTGCGAGTGGCATCGTATCGCGTATCATGTGACAAAAGCTATATTGCCTGTATCTCGCGCTGCTGACTCGGTAGCTTATCGATAATATCAGAATTTTCATTCGTCGAGGCACTTTTCACCCATCATGATCTTAAAAAACCATTTAGAAAATTCCGCCTCATACGTCAAGGTGTACGTGGTTCGGGCGACGACGATCTATCGTCCTTTTATGCGCTTTCGGGAGATGCAGAATATGGCTCGGAAAAAAATGACTCGGCTCTTCATCACGATGATACCGTCTCTGCGCAGTCGCGCGTTTAATCTCAATATTCGTCGTAGAGGTAGGTACGCGCGCGCGCGCGGCAATGGGAAGGAAAATATACGCCAAGGTACTTGAAGCGCAATTTAGGATTCGGGCTCGCTATGGCAATTAAATAATTGCTATGATATTCCTAGCCTCGAGCTGTCTTTATCTCTAGACATTATCCGAGTGGCTAGTAGTAGTGCTGCAAAATTAGCCCGAATGGCCCAATTGGACTCTCTTGGATAGAAAATGGACCCCCCGCCCTTACACGGCGAGGCGTATAATTGCTTCTGCCTTTAGGGTAATGAAAAAAGAAAAGCAGCAGAACGGCAACGGCCTCGCTCGGCGAAGGAACTCGGACGAATTAAAAAGATGTGTATATGCCTTTGTTTCCTCTTTTGAGAAGACGACGGTGCAGGCTGGCTATGGGTGCGAGGGTGTTGCAGTCGAGAGCAGTATAGTCGGTAGATTGCGCAGCTCGCCCGTTATCTTCGACAGTGCGAACTGAGCAGCTCGGCAATTGCCACTTGAATGCCTCGGGGAGAGAGAAAGAGAGAGAGAAGGACGCCTCTACACTCTAAGACGCTTATCGAATTCTTCAAAGTTTTATCAACTCCCTTGTACGTGTATAATGTACCTCATTCACAGAGCACAAAAGTATATGAAAATTCGTGCTTTTTCCAAAGACCTAATGAAATTAGAGTCGGCGCTTGTGTAGAGTATATAAGGGAGCCGAGACATTATACGCGCGCACGCAATATAATTCATTTAAATGGCCATTATCAAGGATATTTTAAATTTAATTGCGCGGATGGAAAAGGTACGCGAACGCGATGGGCGTATTAATACGCAGTATGTTAATACATTCGCCGTTTCAAGCTGCGCGAGTATCAAGTGAGCGCAAATGGTGAGAATACCCGTCATAAATTACTGATGCTATAGTTTCAGTTAAGAACGAGAAATATTAGACACACGCGCACACACACACAGTCACATTGGATCGCGTCGCGAAGTACGCTTTTCCTGAATTCGTTCCAGTGCAAATACATACGTATATAGGGTAGAAAATTCGGTAAAAGCTGTCATCGCACGTCGCCGCTGCTCCGTGCATTACCATAAAATCTAACATCGAGAGAAAATACGTATGAACGCTTGCATATACATACGCGCATAAGTACGTGACGTGAGTTTTCGTTGGATTATCCTTGCCATGGTGTGCGCTGGATATATCACGTGCGTGTGAGTGTGTGCATGTGTGTGGTCGGCGCGCTGGCCTCGCGCGCTCATTTTTTGAGAATATGCCTGGGATTTAGGCAAAGAGAAAAGAAAAGACTTGACTCTCTATTCTTTTTCCTCTCTTGGGGACACTTTTTCTTACGCTGGAAAGGGACAGTTTAGCATGCTCGAATAGATGAAGCCAACGGCCCGTGCGCCCGAGAGAGATGTTTGCGGCAGATAATGCAGAGTATTATGGCAGAATATGGATAAAAGGAAGATTTCGCTGCAGTCTTTTATCCGATTTTGGCGAATATGTGTATTTACATATTTTCTCTCGTGCCCTAAACGACGTCCGCGCTACAAGTTTCGGAATTGAAAAAGGGGGGAAAAAAAAATAATTAAACGAGTACGTTGTCGATGCGAAAAAAATCGATGTAAAAGCATGTGTACCGCACTTGCTATCGAAAAATTAAAAAAAATTTAAATTCAATCGAAAGTGGAGAGCCTTTGAAATCACGTTCATGTATGCATAGGAAAATCTCTACGTGCCCGGCTTAATGCAAAAAACTGCAACATTGCGTATACAGGTACGTCGTCGTAGCTCATATGATTGAAGCACCGTCGAATATTTAAAGCCACCAGAAAAGTGAACTGCAATAAACCGTAAAAATATTCAATTTTCTATTAATGCGATTATATTGGAAAAATGCATTTCTCAGTCAAGCACTTTGGTAAATTGCAAGCGGGAAATACATGCACAAATCCATACGCGACGGAAAACATCAATGTCGAAAACGTAGAAAATGAGATGCGTATGAACTTGCGAACGAAAAAAAAACTTATCGAGCAGATAACGTCGAAGCAATCATCGGATCACTCTCAAGGGACTTGAAACGCGCACCTTGAATGTACATTTAAATTTATAATTATTTGTCAGGGCTCTATTAATTTCTCATTTCGTTCGAGACATCAATGGGAAGGGGTGGGTAAAATTGCGATAAGCGCAGGCAAAAAATCGTAATATAAATTCAAGGATTAATTCTCAAACGCACGGGAAATAATAACACGAAATATCATTTTGAACGAATTCGTATCATAACGGACGAATAAAACAGAGGACTTGATGTCGCGTAGTGTTGTTGTTCGCGCAGTGGACATCATCTGCACCCATGCGGCTGCTGTGCAACTGAAACGCGCGTGAAAGCGAGCGTTCGTGTGACCGGATTGCGGTCGGCGTCCTTTATCTATTTCCGACCCTCCTCCCTCTGGCTGCTGCCTCTCTTTCACCTCTTTTATGTTGTACAGACCTCGGGCATTTAATTCGACTTAATGGACCTCGACAGATACGTGCCCAGGATAAGACGTTTATAACTCGCACATTGTGACAATTTTCAAATTAAATTTTACGACGGCAAATACTTTTTTTTCTCCCCTTTTATGATATCGCGCAGTGCACGGGGAAAAATTGTCGCCCTTGCTCCAACTCGCACACCTTGAATTTCTCTTCCTGCATAGTATGAAAAGCATAAAAGCGACAGAAAATTTGAAACACAATACGTTGCTTGTGTCAACTGTTACAACAGTTCGCAGATACATGTTTTCCAGCAAATAAATGTCTCCATTTTTTATGTTCATTGTATGTTTATTACATTTTCAATTGATCGCATTAAAATATAGAAAAAAAAAGAGAAAGATGCGATTGGCTCTTAGTGAGATGTTATACTATTCATACAGTCGCATTGGCACCACAAGCTCAGTACACAAAAGCATTCATTAGGGTGATTAACGGTTGTGAATCTGTGCTGAATACGAGCTGCAGTTCGAGTTCGAGCTCTCATATACAAAGTCAAATAATTTACCATAGTACATTTCGATCGGATTCGCCGATATGCGCGCACGGGTGCAACTTGATCAATTAACTATTCCGTGTGTTTTGCAGTCATATGACATGCAAAAGAGTATTAAAAAGAGTATCATTTTGAGTTTTCGTCGATTTTTAAGCTTGCAGTGCTCTTGAGTGACAGATTAAATACTTCCATCGTATTATTAAACTTTTTGTCTTGCGCTGATGTCTGCAGGCATTGACCGATGTAAAAAACAAACGGGGAAAAAGTACTATCGGACACTTGGCCCTAGTTTTACTACTGGCGACAAGTTTACCCGGGGATTATATACTTGATTGTGCTTCGCTGGTGGTTTTTTGATCAGCGAGGCGCGAGCCACTACAGGCAGCTAGCAGCTTTTCGTGCGTTGAATGTGTAATTTACGAGACTGCCACAGATATTTTACAGTCCCGTGAATTTATGGACTTTGGAACGCGAGTGGCGGCGGCGTCGGCGGCACGAGCCATTGTTCTTCGACTGCTTTAACACGATCATATACGATCGTAGCTGCTACCACTGCGTGCGTCTGCATAGAAAGCCATTTTACCTACTTTTTTTTGTTGTTGCTGGCGAATTCGCACGCACAGCTGTGTGTTAATGGCACGCAGTCAGTCAAGCAGCCTGTAACAGGCTTTGGCGCTTGTTACGTGCCCATCGTAGCTTTACACCGATTTTGTCACTACTGACAAAGATAAAGCACAGGCCAACTTTATTCTGCCTTTATTTATCAACTCGATCAATTACTTTTACAAGCTTGATTTTAAAGGTCAATCTATAAGAACGTAATAGCGCATAAAACTTTGGAAAAAGTTCAGATAATGTTATTACTCTCCTAATCTAGGTACTTTAGGTACTAGGTACTAGGACTCATCTGCAGTTTTTATGTTGATACAACATAACTATATTNAATTATTTATAAATAAATAATAAATTGTTTAAAACTTTTTACTGTATAATTTTATTACCATAAATATCATGATACTACTCCACTCGGCACATTTTTTTCTAATACTCGGTTACTTGAACTCTTTTAAAACATGTTGAAACAAGAGAATGAATATGCTTATAAGTGTATGTTTTTTAAATTTATAAAATTTATATTAAGATAAGGTATGATGAATAATAAGAGTTGAGATATTCTAAAAATAAATAAATTTTTATTTATCAATAATCTTCATAATAATTCTACAAAACTTTATAATTGTCTGAACAATACACTAAATATTCGTGATATGTACGATAAGGCAATTATTTCATTTAAGGAATATAATTCAGAAGTACTTCGATTAATTTTTTGTTTCAATATTTTTCTTTCATTCATCGAATTTTCCTGAGTCATTTAAATTATCATTGCAATTTGCTGCCGAGCCATTTGTAGATGCTGATAGTTCATCGAGGTTAACATTTAAAATAAATTGATCCCCTTCGACATCATCGTACATTTCTTGAAGCGCTTAAATATAAATAAAATTAACAAAGTAGCTTTGAGCATGAAACTTTTATAAATTTTAGAAAAACATGAAAATATTGCAAATTATTTGAAAATTGAATAAATTTATAATTTTCTCAAAATTTATAAACAAAGTTTAACTAAAAGAAGAAATTTGGAAATTGACAAGAAAATTTTTAAGCATCTATTAATTTTTTTATTTCAAATCTAAAAATAATCTATAATTTAAGAATTAACGTGCATGTTTGTAGCATAAAAGTTACTCACCCTTATAGGCATTAAACTGCAAGATAATATCATCAAGCAAGTGATTTTTATTCATTTTGTGCTGTACTATCACCTCACCAGCAATCATTAGAAGCTTATGATTTTTTAAATAACCTTTTACGTATAGCACTTTAATTGTAGGAGCACTGAGTTTTAATATTAAAAAACGAAATTTTCGAAACAACATATTACGCGTGGTTAACTGTAGCCAATGCCGATCAAATAACTTCGCGAATTTGCGTATTCCTGGCTCTAAACGCCGAGCCGATAAAAAGGCTCGCGCTATCACGTTTACGTAAAATGATTTTTTCTCTAGCTCCATTCTTTCTTTCCAACGATCTGCACGTCTTGAAGCTCAGAGAAAGACTAAATCGTAGACTTACATTTGACATTGGTACAAATGATAAATTTTGCTGCTGTGCTAAAAAGGCCAAATCATCAGAAAACTCTTTCTCTCCTTTTTACTGTGAGAGAATGTTTTTACAAACAAAATGCCGCGTTCAAACTTTTGTTTTACATACGTCGCATATTTCTTTACTTGTGCATGTATTTCTTTTCATAACTGTAAACATTGTCGTTAAAGTCACTAATAACTATTATACCTATGTAATTATTCAATAAATAATATGCACCGTCTATTTTGAGCGGATATTTTATCGGGACAATTAAATTTACTCACTATTCGAAGAAACCGATAATTTCAAAAGGAAACGTTTAAATTCGATAAGGCTATTCAAATTATAAAAGTATGTGGGCATTTAAATGAAATAAGTACATGAGCATTAACAGAGCATAATTTATGCTCTCGTAATGAGTTATGCTGTATCGTGTATCATCTTGCAATGTAAACACATGTCATCGACACCTTTCTTGCAATCCTTCACAACACATGCGATATTTACTTCTCCCTCGTGTCAAGACATCATGAGGAGTCACATGTCTCACTTCTCCTTCATATTTCTTCTACATAATAAAGGCAGGAGGGGGTCACATATTAATCTTGATGAGCTTACGGCATATTATCAGTTGCATTTTATCATTTCAACAGAGCAGAGTTTGTAGCTACAGTAAAAATGGTAGATACATGTTCTTTTCAAAAGTACAGTGAATTATTTTCAAGTGACGAAAAATATTTGTAAATTAAATCATGAATTTTTAAACAAATCTAAAATTGTAATAAACTATCTGTAAAAATTATTACGATTTGTGCTCAATTTATTTTGTACATACAGTGTAGTGTTATCTGTATTATCTGTGTCTCTTATAGTTTATTTAAAATTTTTTTCACTCTTCCCTTTCTTAAATTGCTTCAATATCTCATGAAAGTTAGCCAGTTGATTATAAAAAATTTTAATTTTTTTTCCGGGTGCTCTAACCATTTAACGAAAAAAACATATATGTAAAAAAGTATTTAGAATCGGTAAAAGTATACAGATGTTTTTTTTCAGAATTATTAATAGTTTTTGGTTCTCCATTATTTTGAAAAATAATACATAAATCTGTCTAAAAAATTCTGAAGAAATGCAGGTTCGAATTATTAATATAATTTTTAAGAATTTCTCGAATACATTTCGGATTTTTGAAAAAATCAATGATTCTCCAGAGAATCTAGAAAGATTACAATAAAAATTGTACAATCTAATTAATTATTAAGTGAAAAATTTGGATTATCTAGGGTTATTTGGAGTTTTGCTCAGCAATTTCAAAATTTTGTGTACGAAATTCTCTTAAATAGCCAAACTCTAATTAAAAATAAATTCGGAGATGCAAACGCGTTATTTTACTCAGATTTTGTAAATGCAATAATGTGAGTAGGCAAAAAAGTGGTGTGTAGAGTAATGAACATGTTAGCAAAAACATGATCCAGTGACGTGTGCAATTCCTATACAACATATTATATAACTGCAGTGCAATACAATGTAAAATAATACGTACCGTCTGGGGTCTCAGCAAAAATACCGCTGTGAATGATGTCATTTGTTTTGACTATCCATCTTGGTCTAATAACTGATCACGCAATAATCAATGAAACATTCAATTTTTTGCTGAATTTGAATTGTATAATACGTATGATGAAAAAATCCGGTCTTATTTGTAAGTTGGCAGTAGAGCACGTATCGCGACTTGCGCGCACGTGCGATAAAACGCTTTGAGAAGAAATTTTTCCGGACAAATCCGGCCACGTACATGTATCGAATAATCTCTGTCCCGCTCATCTGTGAACGAGCAAAACCAAATCTAGCTCGAATCCTTAGAAATTCATGCGCAGCCCGGCAGCGGCTTGTCTTGCTCTGATATCTCTCCCGACGACGACCATGTACAACATGTACAGTATCAGACAGTAAGAAGGGGGGCAAGAGACGCGAAAAGAAGAGCTCCTACGAGCTCGGCTTGCTTAGAAGAGAGGCGAGGCGAGGAGAGAAGAGAAGAGAAGGAGAGGAAGGAAGCCGGAAGGAAGGAAGGAAGTTGATTTCTGCCGAGTGTGCGTGCGCTCGCTCCCGCATGTACATTGCGCATGGGTTATACATTCTAAACCAAGTGCACACAGTGAAAAGCGCGCCCACCTCGCGTGGTAATCCTTAAACATACGCTTTCGGGATGTTATGTACGCGCCGTAACATTGCTGTATGGCCGAAAGCTCGAGAGCGAACGAGACTCGTAGAGAAAACTATTTTGCTGAGCTAATGTAAACTTTGATTGTTGACCAAGAGCAGAAAGAGAGAGAGGGAGAGAGGCGCAGCTACGCGATTCTTGCAACTAGAACAACCACAGTCCAATTAATAAGCTCTATATATTTTGTGATGCACGATGATGTAAATATTATGTAGCGCAGTGGTGTAGCAGCAGCACACCATGGTCAGAGACGCTATGTACAGGCTGCTTCTGCTGCTATTTGCGAAACGAGTTGGCGTGTACTTTTACTTTTTCATACTCTTTGGAGTAAATCATGCTAATCTTAAACACCCCTTTGTGCTCGGCACGAAGCCGCGCGCGGATATGTATAATGCAAGCTTTTGTTTGCTCGCCGCTTCTATATGAATGTGTGTGCGTTGCAGTAGACGCGCGCGCTTCAACGTATCCCAACGCGATCGTACAAGGGAAGAGGGATTTATCTTGCTTACCCCAGCAGCCGCAGCGGCAGCAGTTATAACCATCAAGTATGCTAGTGGGAGCACAAGTTTTGGGCAGTTTGATAAGGTTTGTTATGGATCGACCAGACAAACGATGACTTTGCCGAAGCCATATTGATTTTTGCAAAATGTAATAAATGTAACTCGTATACATAATATATTAAAGTTGTATTGTGCATCTTTATTAAATTACTTTTCTTCTCCTTGCCAAGTTGACGTTTTAATTGCGCGCAAAATTATAATCACGTTGAATCAATGTATAATTTATTTCATTTAAATATCATTAGATGTACCAAGGTGTCATTGCGATAATACGTGTTGCATTTAAGCAGTATTTACGGGTGCATAAAGGCTGCATAATGAAACAAGTACAATAACGAAGATATTTTAATCAGTTTTATAAAGTAATACAGAATAATTCAAACTTTGTGCGAAATGTCCTATTCAAAGTTTAATACACGTGTGCATTGTAGAGGTACTATAAGGCAAAACCACAGGAACTAACTAGCCACCAGGGATTGGCAAACTTCTATTGCGAGAAAGAGCGAAAGAGAGAAATAGAGAGATGAAGTCGGAGCTGCGCGGGGGGAGGAGAGGGTAATAGACAGTAGCAAAATAGTCATAAAAGCATTCTACAAACTATCCGACGAGAGAGAGAGAGGGTGTGCGCGTGTGTGCAATAGCAACAACGTACACCCAGCCTCGTTGCACTGCGCAATACTCGAAAACAGTTGAGCGTAGTACTCTTAATTGGACCAACTTGGGCGTTCCAAGTGTATTTCCGTGTGCGTTCGTCAAGTGAATCGCTCACAAGAAGAAGAAGAATAAGAAACATCGAGAAGTACTAACGCGATACTACGCTAGAGGCATCAACGCTTCAAATTCTTTAAAATTTCGCGCGAGACACAGTGTTGCAAGCTCGACTTTCGACTTGTTCTAGCCTGTATTTACTCGTTCTTCCATTCGCGTGCTTACAGCATGTACCGGGTGGTTGTTGTGTTTGTTGCTCTTGCTACTTTTATCGATAAAAAAACTCCGTGTTTGCTCAGCTCGGCTAGCCAAAAGTTTCCAGCGTGCACGCATGCAGTCTTTTGTAATTCAGTTTGCCTAAGTAGCAGCTCATTACTATGAATTTTCTCACACAAGGACGAGCGCAAATAAATATTCCAGCGTAACAAACATTCGCGCGCTCCGAGCTGCTGCGAGTATTTATCTAGCTAATTTCCGAAGCTGCCGCTAGTTGAGTAAACTGCAGTGTATAGTTACACGTTCGAGCGTAACAGTAATGCCAACATCTCTTTCTCCGTCTCTATCTCGCTGCTGCTGTCTCTCTTGCTGCGCGCCGAACACGCGCGTATACACACACGCCGCCGCGCGCGCAAGCTCCCGAACTCTCGTATATATCGCGGAAAGGCACTAGTAGAGGCCGGAACGAATTCGTGCACACGCACACCCATACTCCCAACGACATACATTCACACATGTACGACGGGGTAGGTGGGAGGGAGGGAGGGAGTCAAGCGCACACGTCGTTTTCTATACGCTATATAGGAACAATGTTAGTTCTTCGTTGGCGAAAACGAGACGCGCGCGACGCACAGGGGAGGAGACGCCGCTGCCGACGACGACGACGACGCCGGTGTACAGTGGCAAAGCTAGTTTTACGCATCTGTGCACACGCATGCCCACGCTCGCACGCCTCGACAATGCCAGCCAGCCAGAGCTTATATTGTTGAACGCTCAAATACTCGTTCGACTTTTTTTCGACTCGCAAAAGTACGTTTAGAAGTTTTAAAATGGCCTCGATGGCTTCAAGCGCCCACGCGACAAGAACTTTCTCTCTCTCTCTTTTTCTTTTCTCTCCTTCTCTCTATCTCTCTCTCTCTCTCTCTCTCTTGATATATATGTGATGCAGCGTACTTCTTTTGTTGACGCCGAGCTGCCTCAACTTTTGCTTTTATAATAAATAAATATCGAATGAAGCTCGGAAAAGTACACGTCACGCCGACAAGTACGATCGAATTCCATTAAAAATCCTATTAATTTCCCGGCTCTTTTTGTCTCTCTCCGAGGCCCAAGCTAAGCTAATTCAATTATCATCACAAGCAAAGATGATTAGCTGCGCAGTGGCTGGGTAAAAGTAGCAAAAGATGAGCATTCAGGAGCTTTTAGTCTATCCCCGCGGTAAAACAACACGGACGAATGGTAGTGTGGGATATTTGCGAGAGCGCCTATCTATCTATCTATCCAAGATAAACAATTTTCAACGAGAGTCAGAGAAAGGCTGAACTTATCACACGATATACTCGCGCTCGATGTTATGCGAACCAACAAACAGTGGCTACATCGATGCAAGCATAGACGAACGAACGCTCAAAATTGCTTCATTTTTTTATTCTTCTACTTATACTTTCATGGGTATATGTAGTTGATGAAATTTTATTTCATCCCCGTCCATGCCGCGAAACTCTGCGGAGAGATAAGAGTGCAGCTAGCGTAACTAGAATTTGTAGAAAGTACGAGTTTAACTTTTTTCAGCTCTCAAATGAGAAAAAAAACTCAATCGCTAAAAAATTTCGTAATGATACTTATAATTTTTGGCTTAAAAAATTTTCTTCGTGCTTAAGGTGATGCCTTGGCCACAATTTTTACCGACCGAGCACAGAAAATGAATATTGAAATAACTTTTTTACTAGACCGATTTTCGAAAAACGGCTCTGTGGAGCTCTCCGTATTGATGCTGTAAACAACTACACCAAATTTCAGCCGATTTCATCGGGTAGTTTTCCCGGAAAACAGGATCAAAATTTTGGACTAATGTTTGCAGGATAAAAAATTTTGATCCTGTTTTCCGGGAAAACTACCCGATGAAATTGGCTGAAATTTGGTGTAGTTGTTCACAGCATCAATACGGAGGGCTCCACAGAGCCGTTTTTCGAAAATCAGCCTGAAAAAAAAGTTACGAAAGTATACATTTTCTGTGCTCGGTCGGTAAAAATTGTGGCCAAGGCATCACCTTAAGAAAAAGTTCCGTAATTGTATTCGATATAACGTTGATGTTCTAAAGAGCTGGGAAACGTTTCGCTACAAGGGCCAAGGAAAATTCAGCATTAACGTCGGTGGCGTCTTATATCCAAGCCCAAGTCACCGAGGCAAGGTATATCTCGAGAGGTCAGGGTCTGTGTAATGTAGACACTCGAAATTAGAAATTCATTTATGCCTATTTGAAATGTAAATATAATTCAAGATTCCGGTGCTAGGGGTGCAGAGTGGATGGGTACGCACTGTATGAGTTTCGCATTATACTACGAGAATATCGAATTTGCCTTCGAACGTAAATGGTTTCCTCGGTAAAACAGACTCTCTAGCTCCTATGCCTCTCTGCAGTTCAGTGTATCGAGATAATTTTTAATTCTCATTTTAAAATAAATATATGAGGTATACGTGGAATCATTCGATCGTGAGCGCCTGCGCTCCTCACCAAATGTAAACGTCGAAGGCCTTGGAATTGCCGCGAGACGGAAGGAAGGAAGGAAGGAAGCCGCAGCAGCAGCGTGCCACGTATATGTAGGCGAGGGCAACGAGCAGCAACAAATATTTTCGTACTTGTGTGCTGGATGAAACTGTTGGGCAGAGGAATATACGTGTTGGCTCATCTTTGGCAGCGAGTCAAGAAAACTCGAGCTCGAGGAAGCGCAAAAATTTTCTATGAAAATAGCCTCATCGCCGCATCGCAGCCTCGCCGTCGAAACTTCCGTTGGATCGTCGAATATACGCGAAAGCTCACGTTTCTCCTTCCTTCTCCCCTCGACTTATTCCTTTCATTTTTATGGTACGCGGCCTGGACAATAGTTTTCTTTGCCGCGAATAATGCGACGGACTAAAAATATTGTATTTATATTGGAAGCCGCGTGACTCGCGCGTACACGCGTAGCCCCCATGTGATATATAGATTATGTTATTCCACGATGGATGAAAATGAGTGGATATCACTGGTAGCCATAGATGCTCCACGGCTGGTATATACTACATCGGGGCGCGCAGTTAAGACACTTCAATTACATTTCGAGTGCGTTGCGCAGAGCTAGCTGCTGCTGCTGCCGCTGAAATATATCTATAGCCATCGAGGCTCCTGAAAAGCCAACAGCCTCGACGCGCCGTCCGAGTAAATACATTCCACTTGAACTCACCCTACGCTCTTTCTACTTATTTGCTCTAGCACTCCTCGCTCTCGCTCTTTTTCCAGAGCCCGTGCTGATATAGTATAGACGAGGCGAGCAACGCAGTACGCAGCACACACACACATCGTACTACAGGCTGTGCGCTGCTGCTGCTGCTGCACACTTATGCGTAGGCTGCTGGCTTTTGATCGCGAGTTTTCTTTCTATATATGATATATACTATATTTACATGCACACACATCCGCACGGGATACGTACACGTATGTGTTTAAGCAGCACAAGAGTGCGAGCTTTTTATCCGCTTGGCTTGTCTTTTCTTCTATTTTCCAAGGTTTTAAAGCCTCGGCTAAGCACGGGGCGCGCATTCATTTTATATGTGCTCAGCTGTTTTGTACGTGCGGCGCCGGGACGGACGGGGGTTTGTAGGTACTTTTAGTATTCTGCACGCCTCGCCGCGCTGCTCTGTACCCGCTGCTGCTGCTGTTGATCAGATTTCCATCGAATGATATTGGAAGTGTTTTTGTTCGAGTGAACCTCCTACTCTACTTCGGGATTCTTTATTGCATTCTTTTCGCAGCCCGATAATAAGTGTGTACTGCTGCTGCTGCTACTCTTCACCTGCCGCGCACTCTTAAGCTCCCTGAAACAACGATTGATGCAGCTTTCGAGTGAATTTAAACTTTTTTGCTGAAGAATGTTATTAAACAAATAGCTGCGAAAATATGTGGATGCTGGAGCGAAGCGCGCGCCATGGCGAATGTAATAGAGAGAAAGCTGGAAAATAAATATAAAACGAGCTGAGTATTATAATATAGCGCGCGGCAGCGCGGCGTATCACAGAAGTCGAGAGATGCGCAGGCGATAATATCTCCGCAACGGAAACGTCGTAAATTTTCCTGACGCACCTTCTTTCACCACCCCGCGCGTCGGAGTCAAGGCGCGCGCGTCGACTCAGCGAAAAAGTCTTGCGTATATAGCCCGCGCGCAGCAATGAAGTAAGGCCGCACCAAGCAATGTACAGCGAGCAGAGGAGAAGGGAAGAAAAAAAGGGAAAAAGAAAGAAAAGTCAAGAAATTGGTAGGCAAACGCACGCGCGCGCGAGCGAGTGAGGATGAATAATAAAGGGGCGCGCGCAAGCGAGCGTCAGCCAAATAAAAGCTCCTCTGCGCCACGCGCGCGCGCCTCTGTATGTGTATATGGTATATACGCGCGAGCGAGCTCCTAGATAGAGCTGTCGGACGATGAAGAGGAATGAATCTAGCGCGTGATGCTGCTACTACGGACTACTGCTGCTTGCAGGTGACTTGTTATGGATTCTATACTCGATGCATACGGACGACGAGCCTCTTGCGTGACACTTGATACGCTTTGCTTTTTGGCAGTGCCGGGGGGATGGCCTATTTGATTACAGCCTCCTACTTTTATTCTTTCTCAAACTCCTTGCATTTATTCACGAGAAAGCGAAATTCAAAATTTCATAGGGGGGGAAAAAGCCGGATAACTTTTTTCGCCATAAGGGGAGAGGAAGTTTGCATGATGAGTGTGCGCATACATTTTCGAGAAATAGAGCGAAGGAATGCGAGAGAAGGAGAGCAGCCGAGGTTAAGTCTAGGCGCACAGTGCTCATTTCATACCAGACATGCCGAAGCGGGTGAGTCGCTCGCATGCGGACCCGCAGCACAGCCTCGTGTTTCGAGTGCAATTTTTGAATAAATTTGTTAAGCAAGAAGATGCTTTTAATAAAACCATGTCTGCTTTTCAGCGCGTAGGTATTCCTGTAACCTTATATTCAAGGTGGAGAAATATTTTTATGCTTCGAGTATGTATGGAAAACATTTGGTACTTCCGATGCTCGTAAACTCTCGAAATGAAATTACTCTATACGCATAATCGTGCGCGATGGATCTTGAATGGTTTTTTATAGTTTTTTTATGAATCTGTAAATCCCCTTGGAATCAGTCTCGTACCAGTGAAGCTCGTAGAAGAAAACCAGCAACAACAGTTTTTAAATTAATAAAGGTTCAATTTATTACTCGTAAAAAGGCAAAGATTTCTCATAAAATTTACAAAGCAGAAACATTTGAATGATATAAAAAAATTATAAACGGAATAAGATATCGACTGGAGAATATTTTCACTACGCTAAAGTCTTACGAAGGAAACGCGGAAAAGACTATGATTCCTCAAAAATCAATCTTCAGCATCTAGTCTAGTAGAAAGTCATTCTCTTTGTCTATAAATTGCTCCCTACAATGTTTTTTTAGTTCTTATATTTTCTCAAGTTTCTCTTGATTCTCACATTTCAGATAAACTACAGCAGCCGGCTTTAGACCGTATTTGTAATAATTAGAGTGACATAAGTGCTAAACATTTAGTTATTTATAAAAGCCGAAACTTATGATAACACTGTCTTTAATGTACATTCAAAAAGTTTAGTAGTTGAGAGAGTAAGTTCCATGAAGTAATTGAGGGTGTTTTTTGTTGCAGGATCCGCCCTGATGAAAATCGTTGATGTCTACAAGGCGATACAGGAACAGGAGATAAACATCGTAAGTTATTGTTTGCATACATTATTCTCGTTTTAATGAACAAGGCTACATTTTGCATCAGGATGTGAGCGAGAAAGAGAGAGAGAGAGAGAGAGAGATGGAAAAAAGGGAAAAACTTCGCAGGCATGTTTTTGGATTATAATTAAAATTTATGCTCTGCAACTTTCGCCTCTTTTTCGTGGAAATTTATCCCGGAGACTTGGGTTAGAGTGCAGAGCTAATATTCATTAGAAAGTACGTGAAATATGAAGCTGACAGATTGGCTTTTGAAGCACATTTGATTTAGTACGATTTAGTTGAGGTAGAACTACCCAGACTCGTACAAACAAATTCGTAGCGAGTGAGAAAATAACGAATGTACTTGCAAATAAAGGGTGCCTTGCACAAGCCACGCCGCATGCCAGCTATATATAGGCGAGCGAGAAGCATCAGGCCTTTGGAGATACGCCGTAATTAAGGGGATCCTTTTCTTCTGGAGTCTCTCGCGGTTTCGCACTCCCGACGTCAACGTTGTCGTAATAAGAAGAGTTGCCGTGTGGCACGATCCTTCGTAAATAAGAATCCCTTGGCGAGCTATATACCGGGATACATGTATACTAATTGGGAAGTAGCGAGAGACCGACACGAACGCTTAACATTGTGTGCCTGCATGTGTGTGTATGTGTGTGTTTGCAGTGCACGCACGCTCGGAAAATGAACCTTTGATGCTGCTTAGAGGACACGACTTTAACTTCAAACTTTGAGGCTGCGCGCAGACAAAAAAATCAAGAAAGGAGAGCTGCTCGTAATTGAGTTGCTTGACTTTTATTTTGACTATTTCTTTGTGACGAATGTTTGTCGATTTGGGGATTCTGAAGGCAAAAGAATTTGCATTAAGCTTGAATTAGGATGGGCTTTCAGATGAAGTACTCGTTATATATTTTATCATTATATGCTCGTTTTCAATTAAAAAGAGCTTATGCATCCAGAATTTCGCAGGCGCTCTTAATCAGTAGTTACTAAAACTCTAATCCTTCTTTATTATATCGTACTGGCGGGAAAAGAAATGGCTCAATAAAGAATAGATTTCGCAGGACAAGAAGTAACCTTTATCTGGATCTCCGTGTTTGTATGTCTATACGGATACGCTACCTAGCTCCAGTCGTTCTGGGCAGGAAATTTTCCGACGTCAACTTTTTCTCTCCTCCTCCTCCTCTCTCTCTCTCTCTCTTTCTCTCTCTCATCGATTGCCAAAAAAGACTTGAAACAAGTCGCGGCCTTTTGTCCGTCGCCAGCGCGACGCAATCGTTTTCTCTTCTCCCACTTACTGCCCCTGCTGCCGCTGCTCTTAAAAGTCAAAGAGCCACGGCTTTTACCGCGTACTTAGAACGCGAAATGGGGTAATAAATATTCGCTGAATAAAGGCTCGCTTGCTTTCTGCTTCTCTATTTGTTTTTTGCGGACTGTTGGCCAATCTACGAATAGAACGTTTTTCCGATCAGAAGAGGCCATTGCAGTCGATAGATCTTTTTTTGTTTATATACTTTAGGAGGCGTTTGATTTTATATACCGACTTTTATCTCGTGCAGGACATTGGTAGTAAAATCATTTTTAATTTTTTTTTACGACGTTAAATTAATTGATAGAAATGTACTGGACCACTTAGGAACTTTATTTTACCCTTTTCATCCATAAATCTTATATGTAAGCCTTTCAATGAGACCAAAAAAAATCGATACCAACACAGGAACAGGGTAGATGCAAGCAGGCCTCGATAGTCTCAGCAACTTTTGTGCCAGTAACCCTTACGAGGGCTGTTACGGGAGAGACGAGGGAACTGCAGCAGACCTCATATTATAATTAATGAAGCTGCTTGATACGTACTCAGGCCGTACGAGCTTCCGGACGGGATGAAAAAAATTCTACATGCTCGTTGGGCTGTCGCTCCCTTTCTTCTTCTCTTCTCATTTTTTTCATCCACCCTGGGGAGGGTCGAGAGGGTACGAGGTATACACGCACGCGAGAATCGCGCCGATCCTCCCTCGGAGACCGGCAGTTGAGGCTCGAAAATGTGGAGCTACGAAGCCTAGCTCGAGTCGGTGCGAGTTCTTTTTTCAAAGCGGCCCAGAATTCCGATCGTTGGAAGGAAGCCAGCTCTTTATATCCTACCGCTGTACTCTCCGTTGGTCAGAGACTGCGTTAGCGAGTCGAGCTCATTGTGTACACTGCGGGTTCCCGCGCGCTAATACTCTCCCGCCCACGACGAGCTTTATTCTTCTCACGGCGAAATATATAAGTGTAAGCGCGCGTTTTCGTGCCTGATACGATAATCGATGAATTAAACTGGAATGGGTGCTTGATGTTTTAATGTAGATATGAATTTTGTAATTTTTTAATTGTATTAATTCATATTGAGGAACTTCGAGAAAAATACCGCACGTTTTTTACGAGAACACACAGCGCAGCTAGTAATTTTAATTGAGTTTTTGAAGAGTTGTTAAAATTGGTTCGTACTTTGCATCTTTTGGCCTACAATTCAGTCAAATTCGAAAGTTCTTGCTCGTTATTACTCCAATGAGTGAGGACATTAGAATGAAAAATCTCATCCAAATGTCAATTATTTGAGCAGGTCTTCCAAAAAATATAATTACTCAAGTTAGTTATCTCACGTGGCTGCTATCGTATGTATAAAAGCACACAGTACCTCAAAGTACAGAAGGTGTGGAAATAAAGCAACTCGACACACAAGAGAAAATCCCAGTGCACCTTACAAAAGCAAGCACATTCTCGAGGAACATCAGCATCTTGAGCTCGTGCAAATTCACACGCGAGGTACTACCGCGCATGCATGAAAGAATTGCCTCGCGCCTCATATATATTTGAAAATTTATTCCCGGCTACGAGATTTTGATTTCTGGTTTGTAATTTTATTTTTCGCCGCGAACATAGTCGAAGAGTTATAGCGTATACAGCGCAGGGGTGGCAAGGCAATGCGAGGTATTATGTATGAAGGAATCAAGATGTAAGCCGATGCCTTGATACGATTTTCAAACTCGGAGAAACTTGGCACCTACTTGAACAGGCTTTCATAAAAGATTACGCAATCCCAACTAATGAATTATTCAATGCCGATCAAGCGTTGTAGCTAATGCCGCGCGAAAAACGAACACGGCGAAAAAGAGGGAAAAACCGAGGCGAGTCTGTGTGCACGCTGGAAAAAATCGGCCCTGCTGTGCGTACAATACATCAAACTGCACTTACACTCCACAGCGTTCGTCGCTTATAACTTTTTCAGATTTAAGCTTCGATTTCTGCCTCTCACTCTCTCTCTCTCACTCGCGCGAGCTAGTTCGCTCGCTTGCCCGCGTGGTCTGGCACATAGCACATCGGCAAGGAGAAAAAAATTGCCTTCGCACGACTCCACTGATAATATATACCGAGTAGTAGTCGAGTGTATATTTGCGCCGCGCGAAGCAACGCGTGTACGTACACGCGCACCCTATCGCGTAAATCCTTTGGCGAAACGAGCCGAAACTTCCCTCCAGTTTATTTTATCCGATCCTCCACGGAGAGGCTGTCTTAGTCGGAGCTTTTCGCGTATACGTAACAAGCCCTGTATACTCGTGCACCAGCCTTATACAAATTCAAAACTAATTTGCATGAAATTTCGCTAATTTATTGTAATAAGTGGCCTTTCGCTAGCACACATTTTTTTATCTTTACTCCCTTTTCGAGACAGAAATTGCGCCGCCTTTGCCTCTGCAAAAAGCACCGGATGAAGAATTACGTATCTTGAATTTTTCCCCAAGATGTAACTGTAGACATGATCGGCTTTAATCACACGTATACGTTCTTTTCGTGCCTTTGAATTATTTCATGTACTAACTAGTTTTTATACAAATCTCATTGAAAATTTTACTATGCGACGAATTAATTTTTAATGTTTTTGAGAGATGAGAGAAAAATAAAAAAATGTGTGCGTGTCACTTGAAGTCTAGTAAACAGAGTGAGTTCTGTTATTTTGATGTGACGACACTTTTTCAACTTCAAAATAAAGTCGTGAAATGTATTTTTGCGAGTGTCTTAAAAAAAATAAAAAATTGTTTGTTATGTTACATAAAAATGTTGTGTTCTTTTCACAGATGAAGGCTTTCTACGTTGATATGCTGGTGCCGTTAGAGACGAATCTAGAAAAGGACACAAAAGTCGTTCAGGTACGCATACGCAATTAGCACTCTTTGTCCACTTGTCACGGCGTACAAAACGCAACATAAGTAGAAAACGCACTTTTAGAAAATGCAGTGCTCTCTCACATTGTCCCTTTGTTTTCGTAGAGCGAGCAGAAGAAGTTCTTGCAGCAGCACAAAACTCGCAGTGAATCTTACAGCAAAGCTGCCGCTGCGATGAAGAAGCAGCGAAAGAAGTCACGAGCTGCCAATAAGAGCGGACTCGCCATGGACAAGGAGCTCAAGAACATGCAGATCCTCGAGGAGGAAAAGACCAAACTCGACGCCTTTTGCGAGCAGAGCTTGAAAAATGTATGTATTCTTCTTCCTCTTCTTCTTCGCCTTCTTCTTCTTCCTCCTCTTTTTATCTTCTTTGCGTATATTTTCGTCACACGTTGAAACGCTTTATAGAGCTTTTGCGTTGATGATACTTTAGCCTTGACGCGCGAGCGTGACCTGAATACTTACGCAACAACGTAGTGATACAGCTTTGATATCTTGGAAACTTGCATTTACTTTTTTGCGTGATATTTTTGCCTGAAAGGAGCAGTTGAATTCAATCTGATTGCAGATTTTAAAGCTTTGATACGCATCTGTTGAGAGCTTGCTTTACTTTTTAAAAATTTGTTGATCGTTTTCAAGGACATAGTCCTTTAAGACAGTTGATATGGTCTAGATCGTTTTGAGATGTTGCTATAACGACCTATTCACAATCACTTTTCTGAATTTTTGTTTACTATCGTAGAATAAAAAATTGAAAATGTAAACATCTAAATATTTAATGAATCGTCGAATGTTTAAACAGGCAATGACACAGGAAAGAAGACGTTACGGCTTCGTTCTGGAACGGCAATGTTCCCTGGCCAAGCACTACGTTAGTTTCCACGAAGTAGCCTTGTCAGCTTTCAACCCATCGCTCGACGAGTGGCGCGATGTTGCAGCCACGAGGGAGTACCTTCCACAGTCCGTTGAAGATATGTTCGCTTCGAGACTGAGAGTAAGAAAACATTGTTACAGAACTAGTCTCTGGGATAATCTAATTTTTTCACAATAGTACACACGGCATAGTTTTTTTCATACTTTATTATTACTCAAAACTGATGCGCAAATCTAATAAAGCTGATAGTGATATAAATCTCGTTGAAAGATGCGTGCAGACTACTCTCGCAATCCCGTTAGACTAAAATAGAGAAAATGCGTCTTTCATTTTCCGCAACGAAATTTATGTGAGCTCAGTTGTATATACGTATAAACGTATGGCAGCCCCTCGCATCATGAATATCCACGAGTAGAAAAAAATTTTGATAAAAATTTAATGAAAGACTACGCCAGAGCCTTGTAAAAGAGATTTTATATTATATTTGCCTGACCCGTCTGTTTTTATTAAGTGTTTCATTCTCTTTTTTTTCACCGGCAAAGCTTTATGAGCTGATATTCAGTTGCAATTGAATGGAACATCGAGCTTATTACGAGTCATTCATGTCAACTAGCATGAAAAATTACCTTGCTCGAGACGTTCATTGACTATGTATATTTCCATGAAACTCCAGCAAGTATCATTTTGGCCCGAGGAGGAGGAGAACGGCGGTTCGGATCTTACCATGAGCTCTCAACTACGAAAAACCCGCAGTATGGACAGTTCTTGCTTAGAGCTGAGCCGGCTTGGACCACCACCTCAGAGTCAATCGACTGCCAGCGGTCTACATCATGGACTCAATCAAAATAATCACTCGTCTCATGTGTCAACGCAAATGTCAAGGGCAAGATCTGAGGCCAATTTACACGCCTCAACGCTATCACTTGGACCAGGTGAGTCGTGCCCTTTAATAATTTCATTTATTAATTTAAACAATTAGAAATGAATTAGATTATTGACATTTTTTAGTTTATTTTGAAGAGAAACTAGAAGAAGAAATAATATAAACTCAGAGTTCTTTCCATTTTACATGACGATCGCGTAGGTGTACAATAACTAACAAATCGCACCACTTGTCACTGCTGTGTGACTTCCTAGAGTATACGAATTTACTCGGTTATAGTGATGTTGTCGTTGCGCATCAGCTACATCAATATTAATGACTCGTAATCGCTTACCTCTCGGCGTTTATCAGTGCGTACACATCCATACGATATATGCAGTGGCTTAGTTATCGCTATATTACGTGTTGCAGCTTAGAGACGCTTTACATTGAATTCGGTCGTCTGGAGATAACCATATGTACGTGCATTGTCGATGAGAATTTACTTCAATCTTTACAGATTTGACAAGAGAATGACAAATTTTTAAATGGTAGTTTAATTAAAATTACTCATTTGAGGTCAATAAACCAGTTGTGTGATTCGTCTTATTAAAGTGCACAAGCAAAGTCTGGAGAAGTTCAGTGACATTATATGAATAGACGTGACTCGAGCGACAAGATCCAATTAAAACTTGACGCGAATGTCGGAAGAGGTACAAGAACGCAAATGCAATAAGCCGCATTAATATAATAAATAAGTTTTGTCTTATATCGCGCTCGCAGATCTGTTTGACTGCTCACCCTCGCTGCTTCTGTTTTACCTGCTGACACACATATATAAATCGCGACTTTATGCTTGCTGACCTTACCCATACAAGAAGCTAACGTAGCTCTGTGTATTGCTACAGAAGTGCCGGACACACCGCCCAGACCACGATCCATGGTGCCGGTGAGCCGCAACAGCATAGCTCTGAGTAGCAACTTGATCGCAGGAGGCACTGGATGGGGGACGGAGGCGCCCTTGGCTCGAGCACTTTTTGCCTACCTCAGCTCCGGCGAGAACCAGCTCAGTTTCCACGAGGGTGATCTCATCGCACTCATGGGTAAATATCAATCATTGTTACCTTGACGCGTCTGACTGTCTACAGAACTTTTTCATTTAATGAGAATCAATATTTTTCTCTGCGAGTAATTTAATACGAATAAAAAATCAAATTCATTTAGCATATTACATTGATATAAAAATTTAGCTCAAACCTGAAAATGGTTGTTATTTGAATCCTGATTTTGAACAATAATAAAATTTCAACTGATTGATGATTATCATTCGTACTTGTAACTTTTAAAGGTGATCGGCAGAAGGGTTGGCAATTCGGTGAAAATCTTCGTACTCAATGCTCTGGATGGTTTCCTTTGGCCTACACTGAGACTGCCACTGATGAATCATTAGGGTAAATATCTTTTTTTAAAGTTATAAATATTTTTAAAAATTTCAGTTCAGGAAAAAATAAAGTAACAAATTAATAAAATACTTCTTAATATTGCAGTTCGCCAAGTCATAGTTCGAGTAACGGAAGAGCAAGTAATGGGTTCGTGGATAAATCCATGCCGCCTTGCAAACCACCACCTTCTCGACCACCCATGCCAAACGGCGACGATAATCATGTTAATGGCGAAGTCAATGGTCACCACAATAATTCTACCAATGGTAATATGCCCAAGAGCAATAGCTCGCACAGCATTATCAATGCATCGAATGGGCGTCAAAATAAATCAGTAAGTTATTTAAGCTACATATTACTTCAACTGATGTATTATTTGTATAACATTATCTATCTCCTTGTGTATCTTCATAAAATCATCAAATGAAAATTTACCAAATAGCTGTCCTAATGAATTGTTTTGTAAGTTTTTTGACTTGTCCTTTCTGCTTTACGAAATAAAAGAAAAAAAAATCCTTGTCGAATCAGCATGCGTATAGCATAACGCAGCTGACAATAGCGCATAATCAGATATGTTCCCTCTGTCTCTCGTTCATTCTATTGAAAAAAAAACATGTAGTTCGAGAGCTTTGAAAGTCGACATTTTTCCTTTTCACCAGCACCGTCCAACTGGAACTCTGCCGAGTTTACTGAGCGGCGGCAGTAATGGTAACAGCAGTGGGGTCAGCAACGGCGGCATGGTCGGGGGTGGAGGCCGTCGTGTACAACCTCCGGTGCCGCCGGTACCGCCACCTCAGGGGGTCACCTCGTTGCACAGTAGCAACGACAGCGGCTTTTCAAATGAACCACCGGTGCAGCCTGACATTGACTACAGCGACGACGAAGCCATGAGGTGAGATGATGATGATGATCTCAAGACTTTTTCCAATGCTGTCTTTTTTAACGATCTGTTTTCATTTACTGATAACTTTGAGGCGAGAGAGATAGACAGATCGAGATGATTTTTTTAATAAATATTGAAATTTTCTTTGGGGACGCAACAGCTGCTGAAACAATTTCATTTATGTGCCTTGGTCAATTGTAATTGTTATTCATTACAAATAAATAATAACTCTGCAGCACTTGCGTTTTCAAAGATTTTCTTCTCAATAGCTATTATTCTTTCTAACGGGATGTATCGGTACTTTGTATAATTATTTTCAAATTTAATTTTCTTTGCGTAACTTATGTAGTAGCTTCCGTAGATTCATATAGCTTTTTAAATTTTGAACAGTATTTTATTTATGTACTCAATCGTTTTGTACCTTGATTTATTACATCTTCAGTTATAATACTCAGTTACCTTTTGGAAATATACTTGTATATATTTAAACTTGTCAACTTCTTTTAATTATTTTTTTTATTAAGTATGTAGTACATATAACTAAAGTGCTTGTTTCCGTAGAAAAAAATACATAACAAAAATAGCTGTTTGTACAAGCCGGCATGCCGGTAAAAGTTTATTCTATGCCAGTGTTTTTATTTAAAAATACCCTCTCTTTAAAAAGCAAGCTTTACAGAAACTGTGATAATTTTTTCTTATAAGTAGAGGTGTACTTTTTTATAAATAGTGTTTTGCTGCCTTGGATGAATAAAAGTATACTTAGCGACCCTGATAAAAATAAAGGAAATAATTTTTCCGTCTCGCCTTGTTATTTCGGCCGTTGCAGCTGTATTCTTTAGATTACGTTTCGTTTTGTTTTTTTCTCTCGTTCTTTGTAGATTCCGCATGCGTTACTGCGATCGATGGAATTAAAAGCGACGGTGGTGGACTTTTTACCGACTTGCCTCCTATAAACTCCCGCTTCCTTTCTTTCATTCTTTCAAAGACAATACTTGCTAGCCTGTACTACTGTTTTCCTACTTCATGGACTAAACAACGGAGAACGTTACCTTCCTTTTTTACGCATTACTCGATACCTTGGCACACAGCATCTACATACGAATCGCCTGGCAATTGATCTGTTGGCACTAGTCGGGTTTTTCTTGCTATCATCTCAATTTCTTTTGTAATAAAAAAATTCCTTTAACATCAAGTAGAATTTTTTTGAGTAATTAAATATCAACTGACTTGCTTTTTGCTACTGAATTTTCGTTCACTCGTGTTATGTACATATTTATCTAGTTAAAATTTGTAATATATTAGATCATATTTGATTGCAGTAACGAAAATTCAGAATCTAGTATAATGTATTAAAGGATCTGATAAAATATTACTTCAAATTTGCTCAAAAAAATTTAGTTCTCTATCATATTTCACTACTACGCACACCTATTCGATTTCTTTTTTTCTTCCACATTTTTTTGTTTTCTTCTCTCTTCGTTCACGACCCAAATCCCCATAAAACAGACTTCGACGACGCAAGGCCGCCGCCAAGCAGCAGCATCACAAGCAACAGCAGCAGTCCAATATCAATAAGGCTGATGCAATGAAACAGCAGAACTCAATCAATAACAAGGACTGGGAAAGCGACTCTTGGAAGTCCATACCTCGAAACAAGGAAAATTGGCAAGTGTATCGCAGTTCCATGACTGAGTATTGGTCCGATTCAAATTTACTGGAACGCAAGAAAGAAAAATCCGGTCGTCAAGGATCCAACGAAAATAAAAATACACGGAATAGTAAAGATGATGCAACTATTGGCATGACAAAAAAGGAACGTAAGCAACACCAGCAACAACAGCATTTGGAGCAGAAAAATGAATATGAAAATCTTCGTTCAGTGAGTAAGAACTCGAATAACGAAAGAGGAAATAATAAATATTTGCCTAGTGAAGATCAAGGAAATCCAGAACGCAGTTACAGTCGCAACAGATCAGATAAAAATGAAGAAATTTCTCGTCAAGAATTCGAAACCGAGGACGATGAAATTGAAGCTGAAGTCGATATCGAAGATGAAGACGAGGAAGAGGAGAATTATAATGCTGGCATGGAATATCGCTCTGAAAAATATGAGAACCAGAAATACTACGAAGGTGATGAAGGGCTCCGCAACAGAAGCAACGAGTACGGACGTCGCGATAATGATGCGAAGTATGATAACGAAAAAACGAGCGACTCTTTCTCTTCCGAATCGTCCGAATCCGGAGACGAAACTTTACCCGAAACTGGTCGAAAAGTTGAACAAATAGCTCAAAAGCTCGAACAGACAGCACAGAAATACGCTAGAGAGCACAGTTCTCCCAAATGTATTGAACGTCGTAGTATGAATAGCAGCTTAGATCGATCCCGCGATGATATTGCAAATGCCTCTTACGACAAATACGAACACAAGGATCGCAATATGCGAAGAACTCCACAGGCTGATGAAAATATTGACCGATACGATAGTAATTCCGTTATGTCTTCTCGACAGTCCACTTTAGTTTACGAGAAAAAACGTCCAAGCCACGGCTTTGAGAGACCTCGACCACCTTCTCAAGAGGCACCCGAGAGACCATCCGATCAGTCATCCAAGTACAGAGATATGATGAAGTATCCAAAAGAAGAGATATATGGTGAAACTACTACTATGGGCTTTGCTAATGACTCGGTACTTGTTGAGAAGGATCGTGGTTATGAATCTAATTTTGAAACCAAAATGGAACGATCAAAGATTCTTCAACGTCATGGATATCCGAGAAATTCGCGAAATGACTCAAACAATAATAGCCTAATGAAAGAGCGCAAACCTCTAGCACCTAGGCAGAGTTCAACCATGAGTTCGACCATGAGTGTCCCTGCTTCACAACTATTGCGTAATTTCGAATTTGACAATAGCCCAAAACTCGTTAAACGTACCAAGAGCTTTTGGCGTTTTCGTAGAGATTCGGATGTTCTTGAAGGAATGGCTTTATGGCAACATAGGTCACTAGTGGATATCCCTAAAATGCTCAAAAAAGAAGAACCTAAGCAAGCTAGAAGCAAGTCGATTGATAAATCTAGCTCTGAAGGAAGCCCTGGGATGTCCCATCGTAGTTTAGAACGAAAAAATAGCGACGAAACAATAACTGATGAGCGAATAAATGGTCCAGATCACAATGAACCGAAGGCAGCTGAGAGAATGTGCTCACCTGAAAGATCATCAAGCGAATATTACGATGAGTCACCAACACCAGCAGAAAGGTCAAGAATGTCCGACAGAAATACTGAAAAATTCCATTCCAAACATCAAGATGAATATCAAGCTCATCCGCAACAAAAGCAACCCCAAGTAAAACAGCAACTGCATCATCAAAATCATCATCGGCAGCAACAACAGGAACAGCTTATTCAAGAACGCTCATTTTTTGTCGGTAACGTTTCTCGTCGAGCAATTTTAGAAAATGAGCGAAAACGTAGTATGGAGGCTAGTCGTCAGAGCATAACAGAAGTGAAAGACAATCAAGGTAAGCCACAAAAACAAAAGCAGCATATGCAAGACATGATGGCAATGAAAAATAACAGGAATGAATTGAAGAAAAAAAATTACGGCGAGGACGACGATGGTCTAATGATTAATCATAGAAATGATCGAAATTATACCGATATCGAATGTAGCGACGAAGAATCTACTTATAGTTGCATAATGATCAAGGATTCGAGCCATGAACAATTACAAAAAACACAGTATCTACCTAGAACGAAACTCCGACGAGACAGCACAGTCAGCAATGAGCACGTTAGCGATTATAGCAGAAGCAGTAAGTCCAAGACTGCTATCGGGCCATGGTATGACCTTTGGGGTGCTGACCGATCCATTCCTTCTACTGCTGTTACTAAAAAAAAGAAGAAAGCAAAGCAACAGTGAAGATATGAGAGCTTTGTTTCATCATATTATGTCATCGCCATCAAAAACGATTCAAAATCGAATTAAATTTTAGTTTTTATAATTAACCAACATTTCATACTCATTATTTTCTATATTTTTATTTGTTAAATACGTTAATAATCACTTTGTTTATTGGAACACTTTAATTTGAATTTGTATTTGAGCGCCTCTTCCATTGTTTTGTTCTAATTTTATCATTTGCAATCCAGCTATCCAGCCACGGCTTTCATCGCTTTATAAAAAATTGTTTTGCATAAATCCTTCGCTTGCCTATAAAGATATATTTATTATTTATTTTTTGGTCGACTGAAAATGATTATTTTTGTAGCGCACCCGTGTAGACCCTCACGACGAAGTCTCGATATATGTTATTTGCACTGCACGCCACCGACGCTTTGTTCATTATAGTTAAGAGACGAGTTCTATTCCTTATACAAGAGTTTGTGTAAAATTAGATACTCCATGGGCTTACACGGTCTGCCAATTTCAGTTACCTACGTCGATGAAGTATACAAATTCAGAGGGTACTTGATAGCCGTGCAAAGCTGAAGATAATAAATCACACTTTAATGTACGATGTTCGATTGGTAAAAAGAACAAGGTTGACGTAAAAATAATTGAATCGATCACAACGCTACTATGAAAATGATTTTATTTGATGGAAAATGCTTTTTACATGTATAATTTTGATGTTTATTGCTTTATTGTTTTTATCTCTTTATAATCTATTCGTTATTATAAGTGAGCTTACACACTATTCAAAGCAATGTCAAGCCTATGTAAAAGTGCTTTTATTTGTAAATGAAAAGGTTATTAAGATTCGTTGCAATGTAAAGATTTTTAATTGTGCCGCCTCATAGAGGAAGATTTTTTCGTTTGTAGCAATGTTTTTTATAATTTTTAGAATCTATTAAGCTATATTTGATTAAAATGTAGATAAACTGAATGTTTTGGATTTTTTGATGTTTGATTATGTTGATTGAATTATATGTACCGTTGACCACATGATTATCACTAATGATAAATACAATTTCTTTGTGTACCAAAAGCTTGCGTGAACGAGCAATTTCAATTTATTTCAGGGGCAATGTATTTGCAACAGTGAAGTTACGCAAAACAAAAACCAATGACCGATCAGCACCTGCATTATAGTAAGATCTAAAAGTGTGTAAATAAATGCCAAAAAGCAGTTGGTAAAAGAATGAGATGAAAAGACGCGAGTTTCTTCACAATTAATTGAAGCAAGTGTATTGTTTATTGTAATGATGCTCAGCTTCCACATAAAAGTGTTTATTGTGGATTACTTTATGAGCTTCGATATCAAATCTTAGAACCAATGCAATGGTAAAATGATACGATCAAGAATGATCAGATCTAAAAAGATAACAAAGCTATCAATACATGAAAAATCAACTTAAATAATTTGATGAATGATAATCACTGAAAGAATAAATTAATTCTGTTGGTACCTGTCCATCCATGACTGCGGTATCTGCCCTCTCATGATCTAAAATAGTGGTTTTAAGTAAGATTCTGATCGAATAATGACCAAAATAAAAGTGGTCGAATTATATAATATCTGGGTACTGATGTAATTGTAGAAAACTGTTTTGTGTGTCTAAAGTTCTAAAGAAAGCTGAAAATCTTTGTATTGTTGTATAATATCAATGAGATAAAATCAGCTTATCTTGTAGTTATATATGTATAAAAAAATTATTGAAAACTGTGAGTCATTTGTGTGTAATGTAAATAGTCAATCTTGCGTTACTTAACTTTCTGTAAATTCGAAAATTGACTCAACCTAATTATTATTCAAGTGAGCAAAAACAACAGCCTTTGTACAATAGTTTTTTAACATAACGTCAGTCAATTGATATAAAACTATTAAAATCAAAAGACTTTGTACAAAAATTTTTGATGAAAAATTATTCATACAAAAACATTCGTTCATAATTTTTTCGATTTTTACGAAAAATACTAAACAACGAAGCTACCGATTTGAATGAACGAGGATCGGGCAAGTAAATCAGCTCTACTCGGACAACGGGTTTACAAAAAAATATATATTCGAACTCAGTTCATTTATAGTAAGGCTCTATTATGCCGTACCCACAGCCTCAATGTTTCTTCTATCCTTGCAAGCGAAAGAAAAACTTCCGAATGTTCCTCGAACTTACACGTAGAGAGAAAAAAAAAGAAAAAACTTACCACCACAGTGGAATCGCAAGCCCCTAAAAAAACTTGATAGAGAAAAAGAGGGAGAGAAATGAGGAGAAGTGTAGAAATAAAATCTCATCTACTTCGGTGTGTAGAAAGTAAAATTTTCGAGTCCCTCTCCATATGCAGGAGCGAAGTTACCCTCCTACATTTAGGATCGACTCAACCGAAACGAAATAACAGAACCGAAGCTAACTTCTTGGTTTTTCTAAGAGTGACTCTTGCACCGCTGATGAGAAAGTTTCATTGCCTCCAAAGCTTTCACATAAAGCAGCTCGTGTAATGACATAAAAAAGCTAGTTCGTTTCGTGACTTTTCGTGTGCAGAGTTTTTATTTAATATTGTTCATTTATTCATTCCAAATTCTATTTTTTTTTCATATGAAAATTATAAAATAAGGCAAATATTAAACGAATAAGAAAAATACAGTTCCTAAAATGGTCAGTAAATAAATTGTTCTGTCGTATAAAAAATTGCTACAGTCTACGAAACATTATTATTTTCTGTTCGCGTCTCATTATCTGGGAAACTTATGCAATAAACACGAACTGGTCAGCGTGAAAATTTTTTATTCGTATTTGTCCAAGTAATAAATCATGCGAAAACGAAGAGATGAGCGTAACTTCATAATGGGCAATAGTAGGGCGCGTATTTCTCTCTCTTTTTCCTAAAAGTCAATAAAACGTTATTTACTCGATCCGTCCATATACTTTTCCACTTCCGACGAAGCTAGAATGTTCCTCTTTTGTTCACTTATCCTGGCTCGCTGGTTCTCTTTCCCTTTACTCTCTCTCTCTATCTCTTTCTCTCTTTACTCATCCGTACACATACAGGTACATAGCATTCATTTATATTTTGGGCATATTTGTAATGAGTGCGAATGCGGTGTTTTCGAACATCTGCTCTGTATGTGCTTGTCGGGATTATTATGATTCTCCACGTGTATTTATTTTTTAAATTTGCGTGCTACTTAATTGGACTATGTGTCAACGGTGCCATGAATGAAAATTTATAAAATATATTTATATACAATCAAGTAACATTTTACTTTTATATTCAATACTCACGTTTTATATTCAATGTTATTTTTTCCGATTAAAAATATTTGAAATATAAACGCTTGAAATTGGTTTTATGGTATGAAAAATACATTTTATCGTGTTAATTATTCATTGTCAGTTTGGTTTTGGGTATAAGTTATTTTTTAAGGAATTGTATTGAATTGGACTAAACTATAAGTACCTTGATAATTTACCATGCCAATCATAGTGTATATGAGAAAAGAAAAGATGTTAATATTTACGATTATTAAAAATAAAGAAAAATAAATAATTATATTATATACATATTCTTATTAATACATAGAATATGTAAGTTTAAGTAGTGATCGTTAATAACTAAACTTAAATGAGCAAAATTTTTGGGTTTATCAGAAGCTGGTGCTCGAGTACATTTCGATATGTGTACGTTTATCAACGTACGTTATATGTATTTATATTTATAAAATAAGAAAAAAGAAGAATTCAAAATTGTTGTAAGAACCATGTATACAGACATATATACGTTATATTATATTATTGTTATCATACTTATAACGATTGTGTTTTTCCTTTCAAACCCTTATGAAATTTCTTAAAAAAAAAATCAATAAAAATCCTCAATCTGGAAAAATCATTTCAGATTGACATTCTTCTGATAAGTAAGTAAGTATACAAGATCAGTTTTAAATCTCAGTTTTGCTTTTGCGTTAAAAAACTTAGCAGGTATACTTCGATATCGAGAGCCTTTCAATGGAATTTCCCACGAGACGAGTATTTATACCTTACGCTCTGTAACCTTTTGAAAGATGTGCTCTTGACGTGTATTCGAGTTCGTCTTTTTTCTTTCTGACTGTAGAAACAACTGCGTGACGTTGTCTCCGGCAAAGAAGAAAGATGACCTTTAAAGAAAATAAAAAAACCGATCAAACTCCGAGCGAAAGAATGCTGGGATGAATTTCGTCAATCTGCTGCGACGTTCCGAATGCTATTCTATATTCTCGCCTCGACAGAAAATAAGTCGGAGAAAAAATATCCCCAAGACTCGCGCGCGACTATCCTTTGCGCGCGGGTTGAAAGTAGCTCGCGTCGAGTATATAACGCGGATAGCTGCGACAAGATTACATTATTAGCTGGCTGTAATCTTCGTATCAGTGGATTAAACATGCAACGCTTAACAGTGGAATAATTCACAGCTACACTAAATATCACGGCAAGTAGTCAGTAGGAGCAAATAAACACGGATACATAATCGCATTCCGCAAGTAGATTTCTGCGTTGCTGTTAATTATAAAATATAATCACCAGACCAGCAGATATCGGATTTTGCGCGTACACGGCACACGCACGGATTAATTTCGTAAACGCAGCTCGGAAACGAAATGCATGCACGTGCGCGTGCACTTGGCACGTTCATAATATAACATGAGTATGCGCGTATGCGTAGCATTTGTAAATCCCCCAATAAAACAACAATAAGACTACAAGATTATCAATGCAACTTGTATAATAATTATAATAATCAAGTCATGTACTCATCGTCTGCGACGTATGAAATGAATCTTGATTAAAATCCTTTTTTTTGTAACAACTTGTAGGTAAAATTTTATGTAACATTTTGATAAATTAACAATTCTGGCGATACCTTAGCTGAAGCTATAGCCATATAAATATCAACGTGGTTCGAGGAAAAGATGCACTACTATGGAAGTCTCTAAATATTTCTCATATTAGCGGAGAGAGTATGTGGAATGTCCATCGATATGTAAATCCAAACAGGAATTTCATGACGGTGCATATCAAACGATGACGTATGGCTTGTCTGTGTTTTGTGCTCGAGTACAAGCGTATATACCGAGGGTGGAACCAATAAAGTGGATTGCAGCATTATTGCTCGTTCTGCTTCCCTATTCCTACCGTATTTGTATGAGTGGGTATTTGTTTTAGGAGGCAAACGATGCATTTCGGCTTTTTGGTCTCGTTCGAGTATACAGACAAGCCGAGATAAAGCAAGAGCAAAAGAGAGGGTGCGGGAGAAGCATGGCTTTAGTATTTACGTTATACCAGGGTAATTATTCTCCACCACTCTTTAGTATAAATCTGAAATCTTCTATTCGATATTTAGTTTTTTCGCATTTTATTTCAACGCTGGATTTTCTTTCAGTTTTTGCGGTGCTTCTGCTTCATACTGGAGTTATTCAGATTTTTGGAATATTTATTTTTTATAAATTACAGATTTACAAAAATGCTTACTTAACTTTAAAAATTATAAATAATAAACCTTATGAAATAATTTTTTTTAAAGTTCGTGAGATTATGAGATCCGAAAAAACGTTAATAATAACTACAATACGCCATGTTAATTTAGATCAGTACCCAAAAAACCCTAATTGCATGAAAAATGTTGCATTTGAAAAAAAGCCTTTGAACAAAAATGTCACTATTATGTTAGATAAAAATCATTGATTACAATCATGACATTTTTGGAAGCTGTCAATGTATTGTGTAGGACATGGAGTATTAACACGCAAACGAAATAATTTGCCTGTATTTCGGCGGCTTACTGGCTTGAAAATTAATTGTTCCTCACTCGCTGCGATAACGCGTCGACGTTGCTTTTCGATTAACTTTCTCTTGCCCCTGGGCAACGACACTCACCACTAAACGCGTTGACACCGAAATTATAACGACGACGACGGCAGCCGACAGACGTGATATAGCGTGCGTGTATATAGCAAGTCACGTCGAACCATGTTGCATTTGACAAGCTATACGTGGGTACAAATGATAGGGTGTCGGACTACACGTTTTACCCTTTATATATAAAGTATTTTTCTTAGTTAATACTGCACTGGCTGACCATCGTCCGTTCACCCTATGCTTGGAACGAGAAATATTACTTTGACATATACCTCCAATCAAAGTCATTTTGGTATAAAAACGAAAATATCAAGAGTAATCCCCATAAACTACACGTGCATACAAATTAAATGAACTATTTTAAAGGGCAATTTTCGTGAATGATAAAGTAATGAATAAATTGTTAAAAGTACGAGGACACGTACACCAATTTTGGTAAAAATAATTTATAAATATTGACATGTAGTTCCAACTGATCTTGCGAAAATTAATTTTCTTAAAATATTTTTATATTTTCAACGAATATTAAATTATTAAACATAAAAATATTGCACCTATATTTTATCGGCGAATAATTTGCTTATTTTTTCTCAGTTAAAACGTAAGGAAATTAATATTCATTTCAATCTTACGTTTGTCCTGTTTGACCACATTATTTGATAAAATAATCGAGTAGAATAGATTATTACGGACTCAAGGATTATATCGAACTAAAAATTTGGTTAGCTTGCGAGGGCAGCACGAGCTTATATTGGGAATTCTGTACCGTGCACCGGTAAGATAGATCGTCCTTATTGAACCCTGAAGGGTTCGTTGCGGATTAGAATGACATGACGGCAATGCAGATTTTCTTTTTTGTCTAGAAATAATGTTGAATCGGTCAAAACAGAACTAAAAGTTTCCTAATTTTCTAAAAATTATGAAATAACATTTATAAAATAAAAAGTAAAGAACTTATTTGTAGCAGACAAAAGTGACCAAAGATCGAAATGGTAGGTATCCAATGTCGCATCCCACCAATGCCTTAGATAATTATTATCGATTCTCGAACGATGAATTTGTAATAATTAACAATAATATAATATTTATAGATTAATCGATTTGCATTAAATTTTACTAATAAATTAACTATGATAATTATGCTTTTTTGATACCTCCTGGCTAAGCTGATATCAACTGTTGATATAAACTAGGTAAAAGAGCAGGTGTTATCATTAAAAAAAATGTTTTTTTTTAAATTTACAAAAATATAATTTGCTGGGTTAGTAAATTGCTATATTTAACGATTAATTTTTCTGATTTTACTATTTTATTTTATCGAAAAAAATCGTAATTTTTCTTGAATACTATTATGACCAAACATATATCAATATGTACTATCACCTCTTATTTTATTAATAATACTTATTAACAAAAAATATTTTTAGTAATTTCGTTCTAGAAAAATTATGTTACAAATTAAAGATGCAACTAAACAACCGATTCAAGTAGATTTTTAATTATGAAAGTAATTTCTTTGGTATAGATTCATAAACTAAAAATAAATCAAAATTCATTAAGTTTTATAAGTAAGTTTTACAAATAATTGGAAGCAGTAAAAATTAATTTGGAACATGGTGATCATGAGCATCCTACGTCTAATTTGCAAGTGCTCTTCAAAAAGAGAATCTCTAAGCCCTGAGGCTGGCAGAAGATGCAAACAAGAGAGAAAAACAGGAAGATTTATAAGGCGAAGTCGACGAGGCAACACATCCGATTTTTTTTCAAAGCAACTTTGTCGCTTCGTTTATAATAAAGGTAAAACAAAGGAGAAAGAGCGACAGTAGCTTTCATGTAAAAAGGAGAGGGAGATAATTGCTTGGAACTTAATTGCTCGTGTACAAGTATATCTATATTTTATACATTTATGCATGGAGTTACCAAAACAAAGCTAATGTCACGGGACATTTTTTCCTTTTTATAGTCACAGTGAGCTGTCTCCTTCATTCCATCTAGTTTGAGTTCAGTTTTGTTCACTTCAAAGGATTGCAAGCTTATAATCTAGTTATTATCTATACAATTGAAATAAAAGTGTCAACAAATTTAAAAAAAAGTTATAACAAACAACCGAAGAAAAGGTACTCAAAAACAATTAAGAAAAATAAATAATATTAAACTAATTCGTTAGATTTTAAAAATTGTAACGCAATCATCATGATTTATAAACGAAATTAATATCCCCAAGGAAACTGAAATTATAAAATTCTTTTATTTCTCTAAACTGTAAATCATTTTATTATACCTATTAAATATTTTGTTCCGATTTTTCAATTTTTATTGAGATTGATTTCTGAAGCAATAGTCTTCAATGAAAAAATACGTTATTTGTTTTTATCTATGCTACTGTAATCATAATGAAGTTTAATGGCAGATTGATCAGGAGTTAGCTCTTCTGGTGGATTTACTTTTTCAAATGCTTCTTTACTCTTCATCATCATTATTTCTGATGAACTTGTTGGTGGATCTGATGATATGTTATATTTGTAGGGTGCAGGTAACCATGAATGTTCCATCAAACCCCTCGTGTCTATTGGTTCTGGTTGTTTACATTCTTTTGGTAGGGGTTTGTATGTCAAATAACTTGCTAAGAGAAAACTTCCTAACAACACCTGTATACATAATTAAAAATATACCTTCATAGGTTGTATCACTTCAACAAAATAACCTCTTTTAATTTTCAAGTGATATAAAATTACTTTAGATCCGTGAGAAAGTAAAGGTTTAGGACAATCCATTATTTTAATATTTTTTTTTAATTTTAATGTTTGAAAAATTAACTGTTGAATTTTGAATTTTGATTTTTTGAATTTTTAAATTATTTACAGTTACAACATGGTCCGGAAGAATTTTAATTTGTTTTAGCCTGAAGTTTGCGATAATGAAAAAATAAATTAGCTATTTGGAATTACATTTCGATTGCATTTGAAACATGAAATAAAACAGTGACAATAAAAATACATTTTGATTTTGTGAATTGAATTTATTATAAAACATACATGAAACGTCCCAGCGGTTATATAAATATGATACAATTTACAAGTCACTCTTGACATTTATCGAAGATATGTGTAAATGTTAATGCTTTGAAAGTTAAGTGCGCAGAACTTTGTGCGAGTAATTATGTTTTCATTTTAAATCGAATATAATTTCATGAACCTAACAAATGATGAAATAGTTTAAATGATAAATATAGCATACAAATTATATTTATTATACATTTTCTGGGCAGTTCAGTATATCATTTTAAAGAATTTGAGATAATTATGATGGATATGTTTTTACCTAGCGGCGTATCATAATTATATTTCTATAAGTTATTTTAACAGATGAGATGAGATAAAATTTAACAATATTTTACATTTATTCTTTTACCACATCTGTCGTATTTTAAACATTTACAAACCTATAAACATGCGTTCTTGTAAACGGGGAAAAAATAAACGAATCGGATTGTCTATACATACAAGAATGGAGAAAAAAACATCGGTAAAAAAACAGGTAAAATGAACAACAACGCAACCAAGTACAAAACAATTTTATCGCAAGGGTAAAAAATAGGTGACTCGGATAGTTTGCAGTCCAGCGTGGAAGTCACAATTCACTCTGACAATTGCCGTCGTACAAGAGCCGTTCAGTTTCGATATATCTATATCGTTTATACGCAGCAACACAGTGGAGCAGTGAATAGGCAAATAATGATTCCCCAACCGTTTCTCATCTCTCTTGAGCCTGAGTGTAGAATAAAAATGTCAGTAACACCCTTGGGTGTACATTTTTTTTCAATTGCAATTTCTCACACATACCAACATTGAGTTTAACATTTTTTTAACTCAATAAGCCCGTACGTATGAATGCTCGCTTTTAAAGGATTGTTTGATACATGAATTTCAACATTTTATCTGTGAAAACCAAATAGCATTTGAAAGTGTTTCAAAAGTCTTTCATGTTTTTTTTATTACTTTTTATGTATACGATAACTTGTTTTGTTATCAATTACATAATAATCAGTTTCATTTTTTTTAAATTCCCTATATTTTCCAAATACATAATGTATTTTTAAGTACTTATTTCATTGTTTTAAAAATTTTTGTTGGTACAATGTTATTTATAATTTTAGTTGAAAATAGGTTTTTATCACAAATAGTTGGAAAGTTTGAAAATGCATAACTTTATTTACATTAGAGTTTTATGTTGAGAAATATTTTGGTACTTGGTATTTCCTCAAAAAATATGAATGAGTAAAAACTTAAAATGTTCATATCACAATGAATTATCCTTGAAAATGTTGAGAACCTACGCTAACTATTTTCATAACAAACATGTATTAATAAAGCAGTATACAACATCTCACTATCAACTCACATATTTTGTTTCGCACAAAACGATGCAATTTTTTCTCTTAATGCTTTGGACTTGAAAAATGAATGATTCAGTTTTGTCCAAATGAAGGACGCATTTAATAGCGAACCTGGTAGGCGAGTAACGATCCTTTATCCCATGCATATAATTCCTGCATAAAAATTTAACTATTAATATTTATATCATTAAAAATAAAAATGTAGTTTTGTCATTGATCATGAAACGAACGTACGAGATATAGAAAATTCTCAACTACTCAAATTCATAATTATTATTATATATAAAAATGAAGAAATTGTCATGAATAAAATCTTCTTGACATTATTTTAAATGGTGAATGCTACGTGCTCGTGTAACACGCGATAGATATGCAGGATTATTCGAAACGAGGGTTTGAATGTATTATCCATGTTAACTTTGGTATCTAAACACGTGCTAAGATATAGCGGATACGTTTCAAGCAGTAGAGCTGCGTCGGGGTAGGCGAAGCGCGTGAAAGCACGTGCCTTTGTTGGCACAAATTCGAGTGTGCTCGAGAGAGATTCGTGTCATTTATAAGCGCACGCCAAATATGTATACAATACCAGCGCCTCGTTGTTTATCGCGACCGTTTCTCCCAATGATTGGACAAACAGCTAGTTCTGACATTTTAATAACAAGCGTCATGGCTTTTTAAAAAGCGTGCCACGTTTCGCAAAAGTCAAAGGGGCATTATGCGCGCCAAATCAGCTTTTTGTACGCGAGTATAAGATATCAGCAATGACATTCGGTATATAGCAGCGCTCGAGTATTGAAAATTCAATAGCGAAGCACTTTTGATAGATATGAATTGGCATTTATCGGGTTTTCGTTCCTCTGTGCATTCTACGGAGTTATTGAAAATGTCCAATCGCGAAACACTTCTAGAGCTTTTGAAATTCTGCACAATAAGTATACGCGCGAGCGCGAGAACGTGTACGTGTTTTTCTGCACTTGTCAAAGTATAACATTTCAGTTTTCATATCAAACGAACGAGAATAATAATAAGCGACTCATGGCTTACCTTCGTCATGCAATTGTACCTCAGCATAGTTACACTCCGGTAGGCATTTGAAAAAGACAGGCTGACGCTCATCGGTTTTCCCAGGTACAGATCAATGGCCAAACTGTAAATATTTTTCATATATATTTGTTACTTATTATTTTAGAGAAAAAACTAAATTTTACAAGCAATTTGTAAAGCCCATAAGTTCATTAGTAAGAAAGTTCCGATAACAAGATTAAACCGGAAAAATAAGCATCACGCATGAAATGCATCCACGAGCAGAGGGCATCGTCGCGCGAGTAAAAAAAGATTTTCGCAACGGTATGAACTTCTCTCTTTAACGTGTGTGTATATTTGTCTGTGTATAGAAGTTGAAGTTTTTCCGCGTTGCAGCGAGTTACGCGTGCTATCAATACAGTTTAACGAGAAAAGCAAAGTCAGCTTGTATAATAAACATGCCACCGCGAAAAAGTTATCGAAGCAATACTCTTAAATACTTTAAGTGCTTTCTTGCGAGCGAGAGTCTATCCCTATACCGTGAAAAATGAAGCGAGTTTTTCCTACTTTGCGCGTTAAGATTAAATTACGTAAAAGCTGGCGCGAGAGTGTAGAAAAAAATTATTCGCTGTTTCAGCTCAAGGTGAAAGAAAAAAAAAGGGAGAGAGAGAAGAAGAGGAAGAGGCTGAAAGAAATTCGATAAAAATGTAGGATCACCTGATATTCATGGTAGAATCGAAAATGCTGTGCACGGCATAGAGCACACCCCGAGCCACGAACATCTCGCCGTACTTGTGATGATCGACGGTTATGTCCCAGGCGTACTCGGCTGTCATGTCGTTCGGATCGACTTTCATGACGATGGTACCGTTGCTCGGTGTTCCGTAGATAACCCACAGTCCTAAGGGTAGAAATTCAACATGATTTTATGTTACTTCTCTACATCGAGTGTAAGAGATTGCGCTTAATTATGCATTACATTTGACGGTGATGATTTATCTGCAATGCTCTAAAAAGGAAAATTGAAATAGAACAATCTAATATCTAAAGTGCAACAAATAAAGTGTAATACAATAAGTTTCAGTGTCAATCAGCCAGCCAAGCGGTAAGTATCTGTAGGAATGTTATAAAAAAAAAAAAAGGGTACGAAACGACGGGTACAGGTGCAGAAGTAAAAGATTAAAGAGATATCTTTGAATTAAGAAAGGCGAAAGTGCTCGAAAGAGGGTACTACTGCAAGGTAGGAAAGGTCATTTCGGCAAAGACAATCGAAACTTGGTTGCGGAGCATGCTCGTAAGTAGCCTCGGCTAACTTCTAATATTAGGTGCTGTGGCTCCTACTTGCCAAAGACTTGGCGGCAGTATCAGTAAGGATAAGCATCTAAGGAGCCCCGAGTTCTCTCTTTGGCGAGAGCATGTGTCATACACCTGGGCTGCTTACACGTATACATATACATAGACGCTCACGAGAACAACTTGACGTTTAATTATTAAGGGAACGAGTACGGGAGAATAGAGAGAAGCCATTTGTGCCTCGCATCTTTGCGTATAATAGCGGTGGCTGGCATTGTGCGGCTCGCTATACACAAGTTTCAATCCGTTACACGTTATAATGTGCAGCGTCTACGTATACTGTATTCTTGTGTACATATACACCGCCCCATCATAGAGAATTTCAGTGTACAGGATACTACGTGTGTATGCCTTGTAAATGCATCTGCACGCGCGCAAGCTAGATTGTTTGACTTGAGAACGAGACGGTGTGATCGGGTTTGATGCGTGCCTTTGCCATGCCCCCCGACTACGAATGGCTTGAAATCGACTCGCGCGCACCAAAAGTAGCTCTTTCCGAATCATTAATTTAATTTATCTCCAATCGTATAAAATAAGACAAGGTGAAAGTTGAGCGACGATTAGCTTGTTGCTGCTTCATTACAATGGAAAGTGCAAAAAGGTATTTCGTGTTTCAACAGATTTTCCGACTTTCGACCCGTTCCCTGCGCGCGCGCCTGACTAAAGCAAAACTTTTCTACTGAAATCGAATAAGGGTGAGTAATTATTTTCGTGCAAATTCTCCGATGATCCTCTGGGGGCATATTTTCAAAGTGCCGAAGTAGAGCTTCCGCCGAGCTAAATATACAGCTTAGTCACAACATAATCTGCTGGCTGCAGTGTCTCTACAAAGGACGAGGCGCGTGGGGACGAGGCGCAGCGGAGAAGAACATCGAGTGATAACGCGCTCTCATGCACATGGAACATGCACACACACACACACATACGCACCATTCTCGTCTACGTCAAAGTCGACGTAATTGAAGTTGTGCTCGGGCGTATAAAGGTAGTTGCCCGTGTTGACGCGCAATCTGGGCAGCTCGAGCTCGAGCCTACCGTAGGCGTACATTGTGCCCTCGGAGTGCGTTAAATCCAGTCGCACGATTGACGAGCGATTGTACGGGTTGTAAAAGAAGTATCCGTCGTGAACGATGTGACCGTTGCCCTGTGTAATCGAGACACAATCATCATCATCATCATCATCATTTTTTGCGCTTACAATTAATGGTGTAAAAAAAAGGAACATTTGTTTTTTTCGGTGCGGACAGAACTTTCAGAAAAATATTCACCGCAATGTGTATACAGTTTTTGTAAGCTATGATTCGAATACACGCGGTTTTAATTAATTTTCGTTATGCGGCAAGTGCTTGACATTTTTCCACGCGCAGCGCGATGATACGTTTGAATTAAAGCGAGACTGGCGATGCCGCGTCATAGTCCTCGAGGCATTGATGTATTCGCTTTTTTTTTATAACTTATACACTCGTTCAATTGGTTCAAGTGACTACCATGATTTTTTAAAACGCATCACGCATCACGTCTGATTGAAATGAAAATAATTGAATATAGCTCGAGGGAATACGTATTTTTCCTAAAAACATCACGCTCGCTCTTCACTTAATTTTCTTTTTTCTTTTCATTCGCAAACGGATTACTTCGCTCCTTTGCGCGCAATAATACTTCGCTTAGCGACTGTTTGGCAAGAGCGTAAAGCTCGAGCCACGCTACGCGATTATGCAAAACCGACGGCAGGCCGAATCCTCGATGGAAAATTCATGAGGGAATCGCGTTATGATTATTATATTTTTCCATATATTTTAAGCTCGGGTGGAAAAAATAATTAGCCCAGTCGTGCACACTCACCTGAAACGGATAGGGTAATTTAATGACCCTCGGCGTCTTCTGCTGCACGAAGTCGTCGATCTGAGCGTACTCGTAAATGTAGGAGGTGTCGGTGCTGCGAGTCACCCAGAGCTTGCCGGCCGTGTCTTCGGTTTTGGGCGACGCGTCCTGCATCCAGATGCCGTAAGTGTCATCCATCTGGCCTTTGAATACGGCTATACCGACGGCTCCTATGACGCCCTCTGCGCAAACAGTATCGCACCCGGTGTAATCTCGATTAATTCAGCCAAGAGCATTTCTTGGACAGTGCGCGCGGATTCAATTAAACGCATACGCGCGCAAAGGCAGAGAGAGACAGAGAGAGAAGTAAGACGAAACTTACCGGCAATTCGAGGCGGCATGCCTTTGATGCCTATACCTGTCAACGGTTTCGCCTCTATGCCCGAGTATCCGCAATTCGCTCGCGGACAGTTGTCGCAATTAATTTCGGGCGGGCAGAGACTTCTGTATTGGGGTCTCGGTGGGGCTGGCTTGCCGAAGACGCCGGTGCCTTTCGGCTCGACTGATTTGTCATTGTTGTCTGCGGCATAGAAAATTCCATCGACATTGTTAGCCTTCGTTTCAATCTCAAGGCGCATTTTCAAATTAAGAGCTCACCTCTGACGTTTATGATCCCCCGTGTCGTGTTGATGGTGTTCCTCGCCACGCAGTAGTAAACACCGTAGTCCGAAGAGGACATCTTGAGGATTTTCAATCTGATCCTGAACTGCTGGGCAAAACATTAATTTTCGCGTTCATTATTAGTTCGATACACGTGGGGTGTGCTCGATCAAAAGTGTCGTATACAGCGGCGCATAATAACAGTAGGATAACCCGATGATTTGCTACGCCGTCGCGAAGATCGACGAGCTTTCACGTATACGCGACTCGCTATGTGCGTGTGTGCGCGAGTAATTTTATACTTTGCCTTGCAAAGTACATCAATTCCGTGTGTCGGAGAGCTGGGAAGTCGTATGCGCCCCGGCACAGAGAAGCAGTAGCGCGCGAGCTCTCGTTGCTGCTATATACGCGTGCTGCAAGAGAGCCTATATCATCCTATGTGTATTTAGATTTATGTATACCGTACGTTACGATCTATGCCGCGTGTGCGTATGTGCCTATACCGTACTTATATTCATGCGTGCCAACGTTTATTAAAGCGAAGAGTATATTAATATTTCTGAGACGCTCAAGTTCGTGAACTGTGCGACTTGCGCCATATGAATGCGCCTCGTTCTCTATGCTAATGAATCAGAATTTATAAATTTCCCTCTCGATTCCCGTTACCAGTTTCATTAATAAAAATATCGAGAAAAAAAACTCATTATGAAATCGCATTACCACCTCTTAAATCATTCATTTATATAAATCGCGTTAGGAAAAAAAGTTGCCCGAATATCTTTGAATAGCTGTTTCGTTGGACAAACCTTGTAGTCTCGCCTGTACTCCTCCTCCGTGATCTTGTACTTTTCGAGCTTGGTATCCAGCCGGCCGTAACTGCTCTCCCAGTGCATGTCGGGTTTCGGATAAGCCTCGACCTCGCACTCGAGCGTTGCGATGTTGTTTTGACGAATCTTAATCACTTGGGCTCGTACCCTCACCAAAGGTGGAACTGTGCGAAAACGATCGTACGTATTATTTTCACCCACACTCCCAAATTCCATATCATTTTCGAAATCGATACGTATTCAACATATAAGCGGATGTATATGGGAAATGCGAATGTACACAAACGAAAGGAACACATTGAACGCGTATATATTAGACTGACAATATTTTTTTTTTTTTTTAAATCAACGGGACGCCCCCTCAAAAGTTTCAAACCCCCAAAAAAATGACCTCTACCAAGTTTTAGCTTAAATGGTGAAAAAAAACCCGTGCCACAAGACGGGTGTAGATTTAACCCATTAAGTCCCAAGAGGACATTTTTTCAACACTTTATGCGGCCACTGTATTTTTGGTGTAAATGGGGTCAAAAAAATATGCGAGTAACTAATTCTAATGTAAAATTTAATGCCCTTTCAGAATCTGATCTCAGATTTTTGAAAAAGTGATCAGGTCAAAAGTTACACTTGATTTTACCCAAAAAACATGATTTTTAAAAAAAAATTTTTTTATTTTTCGAATTTCCAAATGAAAACCATTAG